AAAGATTTTTTTTATATATATATTTTGTTTGCTGTATGTAGGCCATGAAGGCTAGAAGCACTCTTTTTTTAATAATTTTGGTAGGGAATAGAAGTTGCATAAGCTTCTAACTATGTGACACTAATGAGGGTAAAATTATTAGCAAACACTTGCAATAACACAGGCAAAGAATATCAATGAACCCCTCCAGTAGGCAAATGAAGCAGCTGCAGGAACCCACTCCAAAAAGAGATGTCAATACCACAGTGGTAAATGATATTGATGTTCCATTTTGTCCGTTAGCGCCACATCAAAGTCGAGGTCGCACTGCAGTCGAAGTGGAAGGTTGGAAAAGTTTAACTTGGTGCTCCGAGCAGCAGAAGAAGAAATCTGCCAGAGAGAGAGAGAGAGAGAGAGAGAGAGTTTTCAGGTAGTCCTCAGGAAAGAGAGTTCTGGTTTCATGTTTTTTCATGTTTCGAGTTTTTTATTCCCCACCTGTGTTATCGGGTTCAGCTGATCTCTGTCTGGCTCTGGTCCAGTGGATCCTTGAAACCCTGCAACATCCGCATCCAGTCTATGTACGTGAGAGAAGGAGAGGAGTCATCTCATTGAACTCCATTCAGCAGCGTACCCAGAGCAGAACGTACAATATATGTCAATGAATTATTGATCGCTGGCAGGTTTTTTTTTTATATCCTCTCTTTAGTAATTTATTTTCATCGGGGGTCTGTACAGTCGTTTAAAAAGTCCAGTGCACTTGTGAAAACACAGTCAAATGAACCAGAGCAGCAGCAAGTGAAGAAAACGCTCCATAACATACCATAAAAAGATAAAAGATAAAATACAAGGAACAGTTTTTAAGCTTCGAGCAAATAATTCATGCTTTAACATACTTCCAGTACAGATGAGAGACAAGAGTGTGTCGTTGAAGTATTTCTGTAAGTAATTGAAAATGTAAATGCAGTTCAGTAGTAACAACAATTAAAGAAATAGGAGATTCATACAAGGCGTAATTGGAACCAAATCTACAAAAGTTAAACCAAAGCCATGGTAGAAGGAGTCTGCAGAGCAACAAGACACCTGTAGTCATACATTTATAGACTGACAAACGAACAACAATTTCCCTCATAATAGGAAACAATAGCCAGAGGGAAAAACACAACTAGATATCACTTGAAACAATCTTGAGAGCTGAAATTTCAAATAAAAACTGAGCCAGCAGTAGAGATGGTAACAGAGCTGAATCAACATCTGTGTAAATGAGGGAGACGGCTTGAAGGGCCGCCGTGTAACATTTTCTTATGATATGTAACGTTTGCATTACAGCTACGAGGTGTTTAAAAAGAAGCTAGCAGCTAGCTCAAAGAGGACATTAGCATAAGAAGAAATGATGTGACTTGCTTGCAGTAAAAACAATGCTATCTGAAATCACTCTCTGGGGCAGCATTACGTTGGCGTCAAGTTCAATCAAAAAATGCAAAGCCAGCAAAAATGTTCAGTATGCCTTATGGCAGGCAGGCAGCACAACAGTGTCTCTGTTAAAAAAAAAAAAAGAAGAGCTAATGTCAGCTGAAAGTAGGTAGTTTCTCCTATCAACAGAATGTTCAACTTAAACCAGCAGCCAGGTGCAGAGCGTTAACCTCTCTTCAAAGTGCACATTCAAGTTCATGTTTGACCACCTGTTAGTAAGTTGAAAGCCAGATCGCTGGACCACGACTTACACACTTTCTCTCTGCTCCTTACTCCCCCTCCTCCCCCCTGTTTAACATGCACATGAGAGATGAATTCATTACTGTGAGGAAACTGTTTAATGCAAAGTTTGAAACGCCTTTCCTAGGAGACAAATGGAAATCAAGCTGCTCTGACCTGGTGGAAAACCTCAGAGATTATTCTCCTCCAGTGAGATCGTTCATCTTCGCTGCTTTTTGCATGTGCACTGAGGCAATTTATTCATGCTTTCATGTATTGTTGCATTTCTCACAGTAACCCTCAGACATACAGTAGAACTAGAGATCATTTTCAGCTTTTTCATACATTTCCTCTTTGCCTTTTAAATATTCAATAGCTGGCATTGCATACAATAGATTAATTATTAAATAGTTTCAATGAGCGGCACGTCCCATTCAAGGTGTGTTGTGTGTTATGTTGATATTTAGTGATAAGATTTTCCTTCATGCCACTGTTCTATTTATGATCCTTATTTCAGATCAAAGGAAAGTAAGGAAAGTGGGTCAAAAAGGTATAAAGACTCACCGGAGCAGGTTATCTTTTTTCTGTCTTTCCTTTTAGACTGACTTTTTGTGAGCCAAATTTAAGACTGGAGTGTAAATCTTCATGTTTTCAGAAACCTTAATTGGAAACCTCATTTTTGAACTTTCTTTGCCTTCCCACTGACATCCTTGAAGATGACGTTTCATCATTAAATCAGCAGAGAGGGGAAGCTTGTTTCAAAAAAAAAAAAAAAAGCTTTAAAGGTTCATCTCATTTAAATTTCCGACGTGGCCTCCTGGCTCTGCTGCGAGCATCTGTCTCTGATGTTTGTCCTTGTATTTGTTCTTTACTTGGCAGAGCAAGGGAAAAGAAACAGGAAGTGAGAGACAGTTAAAACTATGAGGTGGCTCAAATAGAATTCATTGAGAGATTTTAAATGGTTCTCGTTTTCTTGGATGAGAATCCTACTTTGTTTGCAGATGATTCACTGTCTTGATGTTGTGTAAAGTTTAAGGTGATAATCACAAGAAAAGAACAGTAAAATGTCCACACACATTAAAAAATGTTTTGTGTGTGTGGCTGTATGGTAAGATATTATCATTTCCCATTGGAAGTATTTTTTCCCTAATTTTTATCATTTAAAAGTTATTTAATTCCCCCTGTGGCACCCTCTGACTAAATCAAACACTTGACTTTGTGTATTCACTAAAACTATTTTTTTTTAATTAGTTGACCAAATACCTTTAATGTCTCCTCTGCTCGGTGGTAAAGAACAATTTATCATGACGTCCATGTCAGTTAGTTTCAACTCTGGAGACTCTCATGAAGTCCCTCTCCTACAGTCTTCTTTAGATGTGTAGAGTAGAATCAACCCGGCCCACCTTTCTCCTCTTCCTCCTCCTCCTCTTTCTCTACCTCCACCTCCATCTCTCCTCTCTCTGTACTTCCTCTCACCTGCATCAGCCACTCATCCTTCCATCTGTTACCTGCCTGACTACTCTGGAATATTTGCACCTGCCAGATAAAGAATATGGAAATATAGTTGAAAGTAAAGAGAATTTTGTCTGGGTGGATTTACGGTGATCTGAAGGATCAGTGGAGCTTTTAATGTGGTACGTATGGAACACTTTTTTAACACATTTGTATGTGTGTGTGTGTGTGTGTGTGTGTGTGTGTGTGTGTGTGTGTGTGTGTGTGTGTGTGTGTGTGTGTGTGTGTGTGTGTGTGTGTGTGTGTGTGTGTGTGTGTGTCTTTGGTAGCCTATTATTGAATCAAAGATTGGATGAGACAAAGCAGTGGACTGGTTCTTTACTATCAATCAATTGCTCTAGAGATGAATTGTTTAGTCAATAATAAATGTGGACTCCAACGTGTCTTTTTAAATTACCTGTCAGTTTCATTGGGATCAGCTACCTGTTTAATCAACTGCTTTAGTTTCAATTAACAGAAGTTGCATTCAAAGGTATTTTCAAACGTGTTATTCAGAGTCTTGTTCATGATACTAGCTGATCATTTGGAAGCATACTGGTCAAACTATGTCCTCATAGGCATGATACAGGCAGTGAACCAAAGGAGTTCATCCTAGACTTTGAATGGCCTTGATCTGATTTGAAAGGAAAAGCTTGTACCTTTTATTTTGACTAGTGATCCTACAGTCTTCCTTGGTTATATTCCCCTTCACAGGGCTATGGGATTTTACTTTTAAAGTGCTCTTGGCGCTCATCAGTCAACTGTTATAAAACATCTCCACTTGTCTATTTTCCATGAACTGAGGTTGAAGGTTTGCCTCTGGAATAACATGGATGAAAAGATCAAAGCGGAAATTAAACTCTGATACCCATCGCCTCTGAATGCTTGAGGAAACAAAAGGAAAATGTTCCCTGCTCATTAATTTCCTTACATGTATCCATATCCTCCACAAATTGGACAGTCTCCCTCTTTTTCAATTATTAAGGCCCCTCATTTGTCGTCTCGCTGATGGCATCACAAGCTCTTTGTTGCTGCTGTGATATCTGATCCAGTTAATATCAATGTGGAGACATCGGATACTCTTGTTTTGTGATTGAGGGTCTGAAGGATTGTTGCAGATGATGCTGATTGGGAGGGGGATTAAATCCACTCGAATGAAATGTCTAGCCGTGGAACAAAGATGTCGGAGATATGTGGAGGTTATGGTGTAGAATAACATTTTGATTATGTCCACTAGTAGGCAGTGCGGTCATTTCTCAAGTCAAGTTCTTCATCTAATGTTAAACAATTGTTCTGCTGCTTCTGTGTTGTCATGGGAAAAACATTATTTAGCAGATGTGTTAAAATAATGATGTTATGAACTGTGTGCCATTTCAAAAGAATGCTGTTTAGGTCTTAAACATCTTGTTATTCTAGAGGTCTTTTACATGACCTTAGATCTCTACAAGGATGACTTTGCATGGACATCTGCCCTTCTACTGTCTAGGTTGATTGTGTTAAACTTCTTCTTTGTTTCCGCCTTGACATGTGTAAAAGGTGTTTTCTTTCTGTCTGTCATTTGAGCCACTCTGCAGACTGGTCACCATGATACACTCTGTGCAGAGAGTGCAACTGCAACTTCTTGCAGGAATAAAACCTCACAAAGATAATTGGGTCTTGGTCATTGTTCATATTCTCACTTCACTGGAAATATTTCCATTACAGTGTCTACAAATAGAGAATGCACTCGATACAACGTGTTTGAACTGGTTGATTTCGGAATGAATCAGCAGAAAATAAACAAAAGTTTTAAAAACCTTCTCTTTTTCCCTCCCGTCTGTTGACTCTCTCCCCTCCATCAGAGCAGGGAAAGGAGTTTTCTCAGCCATGAAGCTCGGCAAGATCAAGAGCTCCAGAGACGATCACAGGAAATCAGGTACAAATACAACAATGAGAAAAGACATTCACCAAAATAACACTAATTCATTGTGTTAATGTACTTATCAAATCTTAAAAGTTACATCATGGGAAAAAAAAACATCATGGTTGAGCCCTTTACTGTTTTTTTGATCATATACATGACAATAACATGCAGCAACCCAGGCCTACAGTATCTGCAGGATGTCAAAAGTACTTTGGTCAAAGGCCTAGTCCCCCCTCCCCCAGTTTCTGTCACTGTTGGAACAGACTATAAAGTTGATCTAATCTAAGGTAAGATTTGTGAAGTAAGGTGGAGTCTCAAACCCCTGACATCGTTTGGACTTTTAATTAACTTTATTAATTGGCAGGTAAAATTTATAGGCCTGAAATATTTACCTTATATAAAGGTCTCAATTGGTTTCAAGCTTTCTAAAGGCACACTGTGTGGAAGAAAATTCCAGTAGAAAAACTGCTTACATTCATGTCTATGTAAAGGCCTGAAAGTAGTGGAATTAATGCCAGATATGTAAAAAGCACCAGAAACCTATAGAAGATCAACCTAAGTGTAGACTGGTTTGTATTGTCTAGATGAGCCGGCGGTCCTGGACATGGAGGACCTGGACAGGAGGGCAATGCGCCTTGCTGGAGCCATGGACCCCGACACGATCTCTCTGGCCTCTGTCACTGCGGTCACCACCAACGTCTCCAATAAGAGGTCTAAAATGATCATACACTGATACATGCATGCACACACTTACCACATGTATACACAGGTAAAAAAAATAAAAAAAATGGACTCAAACCGACACATACATAGTGCAGAAACAAACACTGGTTGTTTCTAACTTACAGGTCAAAGCCAGATATCAAGATGGAGCCAAGTTCTGGACGACCAGTGGACTATCAGGTGTGTGTAACAGGGTGTTTGACTGTTCACAGTAGCATCTGTAATAATTGGTGTTTATATACAGTATATTTATGTGTGTGTATGTGTGTGTAATAGTTGATTGGTGTTAGTTTGTGCAGATATAACTAGACATTTTAAATTGTCTCCGTATAGAAGTATGTTTGCCATGTGATGTATTGATGGATGATACATGAAGGATTTTTACTTACAACTTACAAGATTATTGATGGAGATGTAGCTTACCTGTTAATGCTTCTATAAAGGTCACACAAGTCATTGCAAGTTGTGAAAGATTGTGGTGCCCTGGGGCAGTTTGTGCACAAGCTGATGTACAAAGGCTTTCAATTTCAAATGTATCTACAGCCAGGAGGTGGTTAGCTTAGCTTGGCTTAGCATGATGACATAACGCTCGGGGTAATAACTTATGAATCTGTTCAACATCCAGAAATATACAATTGCCCTTACATTTAAAGCTAACTTAGTAACAAATCATACCATGTTGGTTTAGTCTCAACAGCCTTATTCCTGCTTTATTTTGGGGCTTAATGCAAAGCTAAACATGTAAATAAGGGAATTTCCTTGAATGTAGAATACTCAAAGCCCATGGCCTCTTTTTGTGACCTATTTTTGTTTTAAACCATAAATGTATTTAAACAAGGTTATGTAATCTTGCCGTTGTAGTTTCTTTTTTCCCCTCTTTGTTCTTCATCATCATCCAAAGACTAATTAAACCAAAGGGATAGTTCTCAGATGTACAAACTTATCTTGGATGTCGTTTTACTGTCAAAGAAGCTACAATATTGGAGCTTAGAGAGAAGTCAGAGTTGAATCATTGGCTTAAAAGAAGTCTGACAAAATCCCCCATCTCAGAATCAGAAAGAGAAATACTTGGGGGGGAAATTTGATCATTACAGCCGCTCTCAATCACAATCCATTGATCCTGAATCAGTCAGTAGTTTGTGAAAGATCGATTTGGGTTTTTTCCTCCTTTTGAACTGTCCTCAGGGTCATGACTGTTCGGATGCATGATTTATACTGTGGCTGCTGGTAAAATAAATGCTAGAGGAAAGTCAGCTTGGTGCAGCGCTAAGTCTCTGATGTGTCTCCAATCAGATCAGCATCACAGTGATCGAGGCCCGACAGCTGATTGGCCTCAACATGGACCCCGTGGTGTGCGTGGAGATTGGAGATGATAAGAAATACACGTCTATGAAGGAGTCCACCAACTGTCCGTACTACAATGAGGTGAGATCTTTTAACACAATTGATGTATATATTCCCTCACCCACAAACCATCATCAGCATCAACCTTTTCTGTCCATTCTTCATTCATTGTTTCTACCATAAAAAGAAAAGTGTTTTCAAAGCTTTAAACAAGGCTTTTCCGTTCTTTAAACAGATGCAAGACGAAGTAAAAGAAAAGAAGAGTTGAGCTCAGTTTGTGTGTGTAAAAGTCTTCATTGTATGCATAGAGAGTTTCAGGAAGATCAGAACTAGTACTCATCATCTGGTAGATTTATTTATGAGATTAGAGCTTTATTTTCTATAGAGTGGTCATTTTAAGCCTCTTTAATCAATAAATAACAATGCATTAAATATGAAATAGGCTGCTTGTAGTGATAAACAAAAAGAGAATAATTACCGAGTCTCCTTCAGAACATTTGAGTGTCTTCTAACTTATTTAAGTTTACTGGATTTGTCCACTTTTACTTTTTGTAAGAAAAGTTTTGAACCAAAAAATAACCATGTCAACTTAAAAAATGATGTTTCTTTCTTCTTTTTATCCAATTGCCCTTAAACAAAAAAATCATCCATCATCTGAAATAACCATGCCTTGCCTCCAAATAATACATGATGTTATGGCCAGAGAGTTTCATACCCATTCTTCTCTATTACACATTTCGAGCTCCACAGACGCTCATATTTCTTCGTGACAGTGGCCTCATGCACACATTTGAATCTGCCAAATCAACCAAATTAACTGATGATGGAAAAGAGGGGTAAGAGGTGACAAATCTGTCTGACGTCAGGCTTTTGTGCGAGTGTAAGGGAAAGCCGATGCTCTGGCTAAAATTCAGCAACGGCAGCAAAAGGAGCTTGATGTGGTAGACACACTCCTAAAGCAACCTGAGACCATTTCCTGTTCTCTCGCTTTTTGTCTGTGCTCTTGAAGTAGATAAAAGATCTACATCGTTGATTAGCCCTCTCTGCTGCTGCATGACCCCAAACTTGATACTTGGACCCAACCTTTGTGCCAGCCTGTTGGTGAACAAAGCTTCTCTCCTTCTTGTAATAAAAAGATACATACAAAGAAGAAAGTAAACAAAACATTTTCTTAGCAGTATCTTTTTTTCTGTTCTCCTGCACGTGTCTGTAAAAATGCAACTCCAGTATATGCTAAGTAAAATGCAACTCAGAAGCAGTCCGTTTGCTCTTTGATCTACTGATGCACTGATCAATTGACTCTAAAAAAAAATAAAAAAAAATAAAACTTCTTTACAAGAGAGTTCTTCTCTTCAAACTTCTATGTTCCAGAGATTCTGTCTCAGTAGGAGGTGCTGGTAGTGGTGAGGCTCATGCAGAGCTCAGGTTGAGTCCTGCAGGGAGAAGAAGTGACAGTTTGTGTGATATTGACTGTTTGTGTTTGTCTGAAAATCCCCCCATAGAGAGACAAACTGGAAACCAGAGTGATCCAGATAACCGTCCCTCAAGCTTTCTCTCTCTGTATCCAGACCCTCCAGTTTGAAAAAATAAACTTTTACATTTGTTTATTTTAACCCTTAGTTGTCTGTACTCGTCTGTATATAATTTAAGAGCAATGTTAAATTTTCAACTTATACTTCAGTTAAACATCAACTGTTTTTATGTTTAAACACTTTGTAATGCTGCACAGCTCTGTTTGTTTAATGTTTCATTTTCATTCTTTTATTTTACCTAATTTTGTGTTTGGTTTTCACTTTTTCTTTGGCAATGTAAACATGTGTTTCCCCATGCCAATAATGCCCTTTGAATTGAATTGATATGTCTGAAAGCTATTCTCAGGAATAATCCTCTGATACTGACCTTATTGGGGAACTACTAGTGGTGCAACGGATTGCAAATGTCACGGTTCAAATGGGATGACGGACTCTGCCGTGGATCTGAACGTTTATTCTTTAATTATAACTTTTCTACTCCTCAGCTAGCCACGACTCAAACCCAGTTCATTTTGTGGATGTGTGTGTGTGTGTCTGCACTGGCTGCACATGCAGTGTGTGTGTGTGAGTCAGACAACACAAACAGGGAGGGTTTGGTAGAGGCTGTCCTCAACGTTGAAAAGCAAAGGTTGCTTGCTGTAAAAAAAAAAAAAAGAGAAAAGCACAAAAAGAGGATCGATGTGATTTTGAGGCATGTGTACATAGCGATTGCAATGCTAAAACAGTATATCGTTCTAAAACAAGGTGATCCCAGGAGACAAAGCTAAGCTCTTGTGTTGTCTGTGTACCCTGCATAGCCCCCTGTCAGAAGCAGTATCACCCATTAGCTGCAGTGTAGTCGACTCTATGGCCAGACTTTGATGTAGGACTTTTTATCATTCATTTCTTTTCATGCCGTACATCTCGGCTCCTAAAGAGCTGACGCCTCAGGGATCAGAGCTGTGATGTAACCACAGTATCATCTGAACCCCTGCAAGGCTGAATTGATTTCTTCTGAAATTCAGAGTTATCTGGTTTCAATTGTTATGCCACTTTCACTCCCAGAGCAAAGCTGAGAGACGAATATGTCATCCAGTAGTATGAGGTCAAGAATTTTAATAGGCAAACCTTTTCTCATCTCTTTGCAGTACTTTGTCTTTGATTTCCACGTCCCTCCTGACGTCATGTTTGACAAGATCATCAAGCTATCAGTAAGTTATCGCTACCTTGAAGTGCAATACATCTACTAGCATTCTTTCTTTCTTTTTGTATACGTTGTTTTAATAGGTTGAATATATCACAGTGTCAAAAATGTGGCTAAATTTAAGAACACTTGTTTTTGTTAATGAGGAGAATTTTAATGTATTATCAAATAACTCTTAAATGCCTAATGGTGCAGTAAAGAGTAAGTATCATATTTCATGTTATGAGAAGTGTAAAGACATGAAAAGAAATAGCTGATTGTTACATTCATGAGTTTAATGAACAATGTGAAAGAGTCATTAAATATGTTTGATTTGAAACAGTGCAAACCTTTAGGAGCCCCCTGGTTAAATAAGAAGGCAAACTGTTTTCCCAAACGCTCTCACTTGTGAATTATTGATCGTTTTTTTTTGTTTTCATTTCAAAAGTGACTTTGTCAGAGTTTGCTCTTCATCTCAATCTTTCCTCTTCTTGTGCAGGTTATTCACTCTAAAAATCTGCTTCGGAGTGGGACCTTGGTGGGAACCTTCAAGATGGATGTGGGGACCGTTTATTCTCAGCCTGGTAAACTACACGAAACTAAACTTCACTTGTTTATAGTGAAGGCAAAATGGATTCAAGAAAATCAGTTTGATAAGTGAATGATCAATTAAAACTTTCTCCCCAAGAACATCAGTTTTACCACAAGTGGGCCATCATGTCCGACCCTGATGACATCACAGCGGGGTGTAAGGGATATATCAAGTGTGACATCGCTGTGGTCGGGAAGGGCGACAACATTAAGACCCCGCACAAGGCCAACGAGACGGATGAAGACGACATAGAGGGGTAACATGCTGCTTCTGATGAGCCAGTTTCAGATTTCATTAAATTAGTAAGAACAATATGGTTATCAAGATTACTTTTCCTTGTGGAAAGTGATCTTGCAAATCTTTACAAATGTATCAGACTCTGCCAAATAATCATATATGGACTAACAACACTTTATAATTTTCTGCAACATTTCCTGAATTCCAAAGATTTATTTAACTTATAAGAAGTTTACAAATGGTGGAATATTTGATGGTTTGCTAATGAGGAATACCGGTAAGTGTAATTATGGAACATTCTCAAAGACGTTTATGTGTTTGGACAATTAACTCACTCATTGCGTGCGGCCGTGGCTCAGTAGTCGAGTCGGTCATCTCTCAACCGGGAGATTTCCAGCTCGTGCAGCCACATGTCCGATATGCTCCGCTGCTTTGTCTGCGGCGTATGAATGTGTGTAAATGGGATTAGCTAATACAGATGGCCACTTCCCTTACTGTAGCATCCTCTGCCATCAGTGTGTGAATGTGTGGGTGTGACATGCGGTGTAAAAAGTGCTTTGAGTAGTCAGAAGACTAGAAAACAGCTATACAAGCTCCAGCCATTTACTATCATTACAGGGCTTATTCTTCTGGGTTTTTCTATATTCACATGTAATCAAGACCTCCACAGTCCTGTCTCTTAAGGAGTTTTTGCGCCACTGTTTGTTTCCAGGAACCTCCTCCTCCCAGAAGGCATTCCAGCAGAGAGGCAGTGGGCAAGGTTTTATGTGAGGATCTACCGTGCTGAGGGACTTCCTAAGATGAACACCAGCATCATGGCTAACGTGAAGAAGGCCTTCATAGGAGAGAACAGAGACCTGGTGGACCCTTACGTTCAAGTGCAGTTTGCTGGCCAGAAAGTAACTCCCTCCTACTTCTCCAATCTCTTATTCTTTCTGAGTTCCATCTGTTGTGGTCCCAAATATAGATTTGTACTGCTCTCCAAGAATACACTGTTTTTAGAATGCATACAGGCACTGGATATAAACATATAAATATATGCTGTATGTTATAAGGACACAGGAGCAGAGTGTGTAGTCTATATAACTAACCTTTTAGATTTCATCCCCATTTTAAACATTAAGGTACCCACATTTTGATAGATTTGTTTAATAATTAAACAAGAAACCATTCTCATGAAGCACATTATTATTATTTAAGAAAATGTTAACTACAGTTATTTATGAGGAGTTGTTTAGAAATCTAATAACACTTTCTGTTCGGTTCTTCAGTAGGATTCTTTTAAGTATGTGAGCTCTAGCTGTGCCCTTAAATCTCACAGCAGGCGTTTATAACGGGCTGATTCAGGAGTGTGAGAAGAAGGCTTCTAGTCAGAAGCATTGACAAAGCCACAACTTCTTCCCTTTGTTAGCAGCGATCCTTCAGACCTCAGAGGCGCCCTGGGATTTGTCCTCCACGAGGCTGGGATCAATAACTGTGCCACATGAAGTGAAGAGTTTTTTTTAAAAACACCACCTGCATCTTAAAGGATAGGTTCACAGTCTGTTGATTGTTACTTGATACAATACTACAATACATGCACTTGAGTACACTGACAGGATGATTAGCTGCTGCTCCTCCTTTTGTTCAAAATGGCCTTGAAGAGATCTCTTTCCAATGTGATTTCTGCACTAAAGACTTTTAGAATTAAACTGAAGTTAATGTGATGAGTTTACCATCTGGATTAAACACATCTAATTTAAACAAGCCAATATATTTTAAACTTAAGTTTTAGTAGAACACTGAGCCATGGCCGAGAATCAGTTACAAAAAAAAAGGCTTAAAGGATATCCACTTGATTTTTTGTTTTTTTGTTAAACAGCTGGAGCCTCATTTATATACTCTTGCTGAACTTACATTGAATTTGATATTTGAAGGTGTTACTTGGTTGCCAGTATTAGCACTTTTAAGAAACTTTTAAATCAGTTTTAATTTTCATATGAGTAGTTTTGTTTTGGACAGATAAACAATATTCCTTGAAGGAAGACACAATTTAAAGTTTAAAAAGTTTACTATTTTTTAAGGCGAAGTGCAAACGCTCCTTCAGTGATATTACAAGTGAAACATAAGCAGTTACTGTAACCTAAGGATTAGAGTTTGTGTAACTGCCCATTGCAAATGTTTTTATTCAGTCACTTTGAACTAAAGGGGTCTTGATCGTTGTGTCTCCAGGGGAAGACTTCAGTCCAGAAGAGCAGTTATGAACCGATCTGGAACGAGCAGGTCATCTTCACTGAGTTGTTCCCTCCACTCTGCAAACGAATGAAGGTCCAGATACGGGACTCTGACAAGGTCAACGACGTTGCTATCGGAACTCACTTCATTGACCTACGAAAGATTTCAAATGATGGTGACAAAGGTGGGTCAAAACACATCATTTGTCTTATTAGCATTGATTATCTGTCAGTAACATGCATGAGTCCATCTTAACTAGTTAATATTGAACTGGATGAAGTAATGAGCTGAGCTGCAGTGAATCTGAAACATGTGACCCACATGACCATCTCCTAATGTCTGTATCATTTTAGTGAATGACGTTCAAATTGACTTGAAACCAATGCATATATTAGCATGTATTAAAACATACATGTATATTAAATACAGTTAAAATGTTGGGAGGAAACAGTAGTTCATTTCAGGCAGATTATGTAGCTGTTCTTTTTATAAACAGGAAACATTGTAAGCATGACTTGCACTTTCCAGCATGACTGATAAAAGATTCATCGGTACAAGTTTACAAAATTCAAAAATCATGATCCACACTCAATAATGCAAAGACATCAGTCAGAGTCATGCACGAACTGTTTCCCTTCCAAGAAGCTTCTGCAAGAGCAATACTAAGAGATCAATAACAAGATCCAAACCGAGTGTTCAGAATTATGTTTGATTTTGAAAAAAAATGAAGTGTTATTTTAAAGAATTCAAATAATTCAAAAAAGCGGGAGGACTGTTTTTTAAATCTTCGCTCGGTTTTTGTTTAGAAAGGTGACGGGGGTATGTGGTCAAATGAACAAATAAATTAAGCCAAATATTGAAGAAAAATAAAAGAGGATTCCTGTGGATTCCTTCCTTACCTCCTCCAGGGTTTCTGCCCACTTTGGGTCCTGCTTGGGCCAACATGTACGGCTCCACACGTCAGTACACTCTGATGGACGAACACCAGGACCTGAACGAGGGCCTGGGGGAAGGTGTTTCATTCAGAAGCCGTCTCCTGCTTTCCATCGCTGTAGAGATCCTGGACACCACATCTCCTGAGATCATTAGCTCCACTGACGTGCAGATAGAGAATGTCTCCAACATCTCGGAGGTAAGAACACTGCATCACTGCAGGCACAGCTAAGTGGTTTTGGATCTTTTGTCTGAGAGTGTTATTCATGAAGCTACTTATTGCATTTAAATTCCTTCACATAAAATGTCAATCCACATTAATCACTTAAACCAAATTGTCAAATAACATTGTCAAAGAGTGGCTGTTATCCTGAGCTGTAATCCATGAAAAAAACCTGCAGTTTGACCTCTTCTGACCCCGCAACAAACAGCATGATGCTTCTATCTGCCTCTGTATTGGAACATGTGAAGTTAACAGCTCATCTGGGAAATCAGAAACATGGGATGTTTTGCTTCAGGGCTGCTGTTTGGCCAATGACTGTGAAGGTGTTAATGTTACCCCTGGGAACCTCAGTCTGCCAGCTTGAGTCAGTGAATGCATAAAACACCGATCAATATCAACATTGTCAACTACAACAAAAAGAGAAATGTGTCATCAACTAATTTTTAGATATACAACCATGACAAAAAAGGAGCTTTTGTTGGAAATGATCCTGATCATGATTCAGTGCGAAGATCACTGACTGAGTAATCAATGCTATTCTGGTTGCTATCAAGGATTTCCAGTCAATTTTATTGGAGCTTGCCCTAAAATTTTGGAATACAAATGTTGTTAATTTCATGAAATAATTTGATTACAAATGAACCTGGTCTGTGTAACTGTTTCCTGGAGTTGTACTGAAAGCTCCCTGAAACACTCAAAGTCGAGCAATCTTTGATCGTCTGTATGGTTTTACTCAGAGGGGTTGTTTTAATATCTACCCACCTCCCAGTTTTTAGAAATGGATTTTCCTGACTTGTCTTTACTCTGAAGAAAATACTTATCTGACTCATTTTGTAAACGTTAAAACTTTGGTTCTCTTTATTGCTTAGTGTCATGTCATTAATGTCACGTTTTTGTATATTTATACTTTATTCATACCAAGTAATAACTCACTGAATTGTAATTTAAATCATCAGTCATTGTAGATGCCTAGACTGTGATCATTCAAGCACTGATGGACCCCCCTTGTGCCCTAATGTTAAAAAGACAGCGCCCTCTTGTATGGCCCTGTGGTAAATAAAACATGATGGAACATAGAGAGGTAATGTGGCCTCCAGGGGGCCCTTCCAGTGGGAAAAACTATTCCATTTATATTGTTTGGCCCCTGCCCCTCAAACATCCTAAGACGGCCAATGAATCCAAAACCAGATGGCCATTTCTGTCGCAGTTATTAATGACACTGGAGTTGCAGCATATCTGTGCATAATAAGACAATAACGTAATTGTTAATTTGGATTGCAAGTAAAAAGAAATGCTACGAATGCTATGCATGTAGCATCTGTGACACATTTGAGCCTTTGCATTGAGCCAAGTGAACTGTTTTGTCATTCAAATCGAGTATGGCAAACATTTGTACTTTATTTAGGCCACAATGGTCCGAGCTGTATCTACTTTGTGATGAAGTGCTTCAAATAACCATTTTCAAAATATAAATTTCCTCTGATTAATATTTCATGTTTTAATAACAACCACATGAATTAATAAAAAGCACCAAAGGTCAGAAAATATGGTGGGAAAGCACTTGCTAGAAAGAAATGCACTTACCGGGACATGTGTGATGTGTTAGTGGCTCAGTTATTCAGAGTGGAGGCAGGTCGGCTTTAAGTGTGCTGTGGATCTCTGGAAAGAACTTCACATTTATTCCTCCGCAGACTCTGCAATAAACATTACAATAAAATGAAAGTTCTTCAGTTCAATAAAATAACCATTCCCCCCTTTTTCTGCCTCCATCAGAGCGCCACTGGGAAAATGGATGAGTTCTTCCTCTTCGGTGCCTTCCTGGAGGCCACCATGATCGACAGGAAGATCGGTGACAAGGCGATAAGTTTTGAAATCACAATCGGTGAACAAATCCTTTATTTTCAGCTTGTTAACATTGACCTGCGCTCCAAAAGTTTACAACACAGCAGAGAAATGCGTGCAAAAAAATCAATAGCTGTGGTGACAAAGTACACTCTGTTCTGCCGTTTACAGGTAACTATGGCAACCAAATAGACGGCGTAAGCAAGCCTTCATCAACAAAGAAGAAGAAGAAGGACGGAGACAATGAAGAAGAAGAGAACGAACTCATCCAGAACTCGAGTGAGGACGAGGCAGATGAGGATGGGGACCTGGTCTCTGTGTCTACCACCCCTCTGATGAAGCCTGTCATCACAGACAGGTCAGGGATCAAGAGTGTAAGGGGCAAGGTCAAGGGTTGAAAGGAAGCAATTTTTAATGCGTCTAAAACTAGGGCTATTTAGTGTATAATTAGAATGAAATAGCTTAATGAGATATGAGCATAGGTTTGTAAAATAAGCTTCAGCTCCAGCCTACACCTTTTTTAGTTAGGGTTAGGGAATATATATGTAGATTTTCTTTTTTTCTGATGGATGGGAGAAATTGTGAGACCGAAATAAACCTCTACCTCTTAATGTAGAGTTTGAGCCTTTTGAGCAACTGAAGTTGTTTTGTTTTGCTTCTTTTCAGAAATTACTTCCATCTCCCCTACTTTGAAAAGAAGCCGTGTGTCTACATCAAAAGCTGGTGGCAGGACCAGAGAAGACGACTCTATAACTCAAACATGATGGACAAGATTGCTGATAAGCTGGTCAGTATACACATTTCTCCGCCAGGTGTGTGTTATTGCTCTGCTGGTTGAAACATCTTAAAGGTCTTTGAAGGTGCGCAGGCATATACACTGGCTGAAGCTTATTTATAAAGCTCGTCTTGGTTTGGTGCCTTCTTACTGATGTTCATACCTTCAAAGAACCAGAAGCCACTATGCCTTGTGTTCCTGTGATGTCTTTAAACTGCCTGTGCCTCGCTGTCCGCACGGAGCTCGGGGAAAAAAAGAGCGTTTAGTTTTGCTGCTCCCACCGCATGGAACTTTCTCCAAAATGAATTGAAAATGGCGGATCTCATCTCGCTTGAAGCCTGTGGCTCAATCTTAAAAGATAAAAAACACGAGACAATTGGACAGTGCCCGTGTTTCTGATTTGTAATCCGTGATTAAGATTCTGCACTTGATCTGTAAATCAATTTGCACGTTGTAAATCGTTGTTCTCTCTTAACTTATTGTTTGTAAACTGTCTCTTTATCGTGTAATGCTTTTTATGACGTGTGCTGCTGCCTTCTTGGCCGGGTCACCCTTGTGAAAGAGATCCTGATCTCAATGGGTTATTTATCTGGTTAAATAAAGGTGAAATAAAAAATAAAAAGCTACTGTTGCTGTGTCCCCTGGTGGTCAAAGCTGTACTTCAAAACTCTTTGCTGACCTTGTCCTGAAAGAAAAGTACTGTTTTCTGATTCAAACTGTCATCCTCTGTCTGTAAACAGTTACAAGTATCACTCACTCCGAGTCTTTGCTGTAAATTATGTGATCAAAGGCCCTTTTTTGGCAGCGTGCTGTAACTCTCTTCATCTGACTCCTACACTGTGGCAGCGGTTTCAGGCGTTAGAAATAGCCATATAGGAATTATCAACCTTGACACTGATGGACTAGTTTGCTTTTGAAGGTCAGAAAGAGGCATCCCTTTTCATTTCTGTCTGTTTCATGACCAGCTAAACGAAGCTCCAGACAGGTGCTTTAACTGTGATTTTCTGTAATAGTTGGTTAACAACAAGATTAAGAGTCTACAGGCATGCTAGAAGCTCTTTTGCACTCAGGCATCCCTTTACTTTAAACTTACCAGTAATGCTAAACTCAGCATGCTAACATTTGCTAATTAGGAGTAAACACAAAATACACCTGAGGGTGGTGTAAATATATACTATGACAGATAGGGGATATCCTTTTTTAGATCAACTGATGATGGTGCTAAAAGTCAAAGTCTCAGGATCGCAGAGGTGTCAACAGATGTTTAAGGGGAATAAATGTCTGTGATTAAAATGCCTTTAGATACTGTTCAATTGTATTAAAGTAATTATTGTGTGTTTGGCATTTGTAAGATATGTTTCAGACAGTAACATATGAGAACTGACTATGTATTTTGCCCTCAGCTGCTGTTTTATGCTTATTATTTTGTGTCCCAACAGGAGGAGGGTTTGAATGATGTTCAGGAGATCATTAAGACGGAGAAGGCTTTTCCAGAGCGCAGACTCAGGGGAGTGCTAGAGGAGCTCAGTGTCGGCTGCAGGCAAGCTACATAATAATAATCATTTGTCATGGTCCAGCAATAAAACCGGAATTCTATCCCAGTGGTCAGGGAAGAAACAAAGAGTATCTCGGGATGCAAAAAGCTGCAATACTGCTTAAAGAACTAAAAGTGTAAGACTGTTTAGAGCTGCACATTCAAAGCTCCTGGGAGAACTCTGCCATCTGATGGTCTCCATAAAGACTGGGCCATTCCTAAAACACAGTCGTTATTGTTGTTATGATAAAAGAAAGCTCAGCGTGTGTTTGTTGTTCATTCTTTCTTTTTATGTCCTTGAAGTTGTTTTTTTTTTTTTTTTTTGCAAGACTTGTGTTTATGGTAGTCTCACAGAAGAGTTGCATTTTAAACAGTCAATGCAGAATATTCTGTTTTAACATAACAGCCAATCCACTTTCACGTTTCATTGTCTTTCTTTTCTGGTTATTCCCCAGTCGCTTCGTGACTCTGGCTAACAAGGACGTGAACCAGGCAGGAAGGACCAAACTGGATCGAGAACGGCTCAAGTCCTGCATGAGAGAGATGGTATGATTTATGAGCCTGGAATGAGAGAAATAGGGAAGTGATCTGAGTGACTGAAGGAAGGATGAAGCTATGATTAATGGCATCAATTATGCTGCTGTGCAGTCACTAATCCCAGAGCCTCGGTGACTTAATAGCAAAGAGTCCTCGTAAAGGCTAACTCAGGACAATTCATTATTGTAAATACTTCTCTGCCTTGACTAATTACATTGCAGAACATTTGAATACTTTTGTGACACTGTCTTTTTTCAGCACTGTTTCCTGATTGATTTGTGTGTTTGATTGAGAGGAACTTTTGATTGCTACAGAGAGAATGAAAACTTTTGTGCTGTGAATAAAAATTAAAAAATAAATGTTTGAAGCAGGATGTGAAAAGGAGAAAAAACTTGTGTTTTTGGACAGTTGTGGGTGTTATACACACGACTTTTTGCTTTTGGTTTATTCTCTCCAGAAGCCTATGCAAAACAATCTTGTATTCTGTTTTATAACAGTGGAGCAATCAAAGTGTCTCATTGTGCGAGAATGTGTTGTAAAATGTTTTCTAAATGACCTCGGTTGTCATAAAAAGGTAATTAAGAAGCAGAAAGAGTTAAAAGTGTCATTTAGTTCTGTGTGTAAACAAATCCACTCCCAAAAAAATCAATTTATACTGTTGATTTCATTTGTAATCTCAATACTCTTTACTAAAGAGCAGGTCTAAACCTGACTCTTTGTTATATTATACATGTATATATCTAAGCTGCAGCTTTTTCTTCTCTTAGTGTGTCTCTTTGTGTATTTCCATCTCTCCTCCTGCAGGACAGCATGGCCCAGCAGACCAGGCAGATCCGCACTCAGGTGAAGAAAAACACAGTCAAAGAGAAAGTCAAGCTGGTGCAGAACTTCCTGCAGAAGCTCCGATTCCTTGCTGACGAGGTACGGATTGAACTCGCGCAGATTGTGCTTTAGATGGTGCATGGTATGAAAACATCTCACAGTATGTTTAAGTACACAAAGTGTTAAAGGAGACTGGACCTGGAATAAAGAGTGTGTTGTTCACCTTTCAATTGATCATTTGTATTTTACCTTGTTCAGCCTCAACACAGCATCCCAGATGTTTTCGTCTGGATGATGTCCAACAACAAGCGCATCGCCTATGCCCGGGTTCCTTCCAAAGACATTCTGTACTCCATAGTTGACGAGGAAACAGGAAAAGACTGCGGGAAAGTCAAAGCTGTCTTCCTCAAGGTAAAACAGCCTCTGCATGCTCCTCTCTAGCTTTCATCACTAAAACACACTTTGGTGAATTTCAGCTTTCCTCTAATCTTTAAGACCTCTTATTATTCTCATTATTCAAAATCAAGTCAGTTAAAGTTGTGCTTTACTGCTGCCTGCAGCAAAAGTGATCTGCAGCTGTGAGTAGTCAAGATGCAGTATTGACAAGTATTATGGTGAAAAGGCTTGTGAATCTATAAACACTGCTCAGAGGGAGGATCAATGTGCTGGCCTCTTAATATTTATGGATTGGGGGTTGTTGCAGCATTGTCTGCATAATGTTTAATGATTGATTCACTGAAATGACACCATAGAAGGGATGTCATGCATATTTTTCTGCTTTTTTCCCTACAGCTCTTTCATTTTTTCATTTTTTTTTTTTGAATGAGGCTTTTCATAATCATTTTCCTCCTCCTGTTTTCATCCACAGCTGCCTGGTAAGAAAGGGTTCGGTCATGCTGGCTGGACAGTTCAGGCTAAGCTTGAGTTGTATCTGTGGCTCGGCCTCAACAAACAGAGGAAGGACTTCCTCAAGGGTCTGCCTAACGGTTTCGAGGAGGTCAAAGCGATAAACACTGGCCCTGTTCTTCAATCTATACCTCCTGTCAGCCTTGTCTACGATAGTAAGTACACTCCAAACTCTACAGTTCAACTTCAATGTACAATCACATCTGCACCCTGCTGCTCTCGGTTTTTGGCACAACTTTGTATCGCATGTGTCCATTTGTATCTTGTTTCTTCTTGTTGTCCTTGTTGTTTTAATATTTAAATGCCATTGGCTTGTTATGAAAATCACAGTTTCCCCAGTCAGTGAATAAATAATCTGTCTATCCACAGGATATGTGTTATGTTAATGTGCCTATGAGACCAGTCAGCCTTGTAATTTTCATTTGTCATCCAAGATCAATACATCAAACAAAAAGAGTCGGTTTTACTGGAGCAGAGGAAGTGGCGCTGCATAGTGCAATCAGACTTAATTAACCGTAACAATTATGGTGCTTTAGCAGAGGTCTAAAACTGTATAACTGCATACCTGGGAATACTGCTGGCCCAAATGATTCACCTGATAAATCAAAGGTGCTGCAGTCACCTGTTTACCGAGGGCCTTAATAAGCCTGTAACTGAAAAAACATTGAGCTAGTTAGTAGTCCTGGCATACACGTGTTCCCCTGATGAATCTGATGCAATTATCCACTCCAAGGCCGTTGTAAGGTTTAAAAGCAAAAACAACTTTTCTTCCTATAGGGTCACAAGGACAAAAATCCTCAGGATGCAAACTAAAACTAAACATTTCAGACACAGACATGTATGAAAACAGCTAGTCAAAGCCTCCACATGGATCTCAGCGCCCTGTCTCACAGAGGGAAATGTGCAACGGTGTGCGCTCTTAAAGCAACAGTAAATTAGAGCAACACCTTCATCAAAAATGAATGAACTGGCCAATAAAATATTTTAAACACTTAATCCAGTAAAAAAAAAAACCATTGTATTCATAATAATATTCAAAACTCACACTGTCATATTACTGTCTATTTCGAGGAATATTGTAAAAACTGTGAAGAAAAACAACAACAAGCCAGTCCTTGCTTCTCCCACTCCATCTAGCCGGCGTTCATTAATAATCACTCAAATCATATCTCATCACTGAACACACATCCGTTGTGAAGTTGATGTTAATAAACAAATTAAAAGCAGCTCTATGGCTCCAACTGACTACATTTGATGGCTAAGCTCAACTGAGCAGCTGAACAGCATTGCAGCGTTTACTCCAAATAACTGTGACTCCAAAAAATTAGCATTTTGAACGCTTACACTTGCAGGGGAGGAATTATTCAAGGTTCCTTAGCTGTTATATAAACCTTCATCACTAAAGGTGTCTTGGTTAAAGCGATGTGGATTAATTATTGATTTAAAGTCTGTAATGTTTTCATTCACTTTTAGTCTATTCCCCATCATGCTTTGCACTAGGTCTCCTCTTCAATAAAAATGAAGTTGGAGAGGCAGAAAACAAACCTCAGAAATAAGTTTTTAACTTAGATTGAACGCTTAATAATGAGGTTGAGTTTGTTAATTTTGATATTAAGCAAACAGAGCCTATTGAGTTTCATTTGATGTGATTTGTGTTGTGTGTGTGTGTGTGTGTGTGTGTGTGTGTGTGTGTGTGTGCTTGTGTGTGTGTTCAACAGTGAAGCAAGTGTTTCAGCTGCGAGCACACATGTACCAGGCCCGCAGTCTGTTTGCAGCTGACAGCAGTGGCCTTTCAGATCCCTTCGCTCGGGTCTTCTTCTCCACGCACAGCCAGGTCACCGAGGTAGGACTATAAATCTTTGTGTATTATGTATGGACTGCGTGTATTTTTGTACCGATTAGGTGTTAACTGAGTGTCTTTGTGTGTTGCAGGTCCTCAGTGAGACTCTTTGCCCTACATGGGACCAGCTGCTGGTGTTTGATAACGTGGAGCTGTTTGGGGAGGCCAGCGAGCTGAGAGACGACCCGCCCATCATCGTGGTGGAGATCTATGACCAGGACACTGTGGTAGGATGTGTCTCTGTGTTAATGAATGAAGGGATGGATGCATCATAGAGGGGCTGATTCATAAATCATCAAAGCTTGTTAACAGGATTTAAACTGCGCTAATTAAAGTGCTTTGCTCCTCCTTCCCTCATGTCTGTCTATCTTTCCACCAATGTCTCACTCCATCCTGACCTCCACATGAACTCTGGCCTTGCTCATGCTGCTCTGGCTAAATAGAGTGTGAGATTATTAGTGCTACACTACAGACCCTGTGTTGAGTTACACATTGTAATATCTTCTGATGGCTGTAAAGCATGAATTGTGTTCTTAATGTAGCTGCTATTGACCTCTGGCAAAGGTCTGGAAACACTTGCATGTATCACCTTCCTTTATTCTTTTTTACATTAATGGTTGAAGAAGTGGGAATAGTACGGAAAAGTCATCTTCAACTCAAACATTTAGACAGCTAACACATTTTAAATGAGATTCTTAATGGGTTTTATATTTGATTATGCTGGCAACATAAGTCAGTGTTTTTCTTTTAAGCGAGACAGATTCTTTTTAAACTGTTTATACATGCAAACAACCTTTCCTTCTTCAATTCCGCACTTGTGTTACCTTCAATCACTTTTACCAACACTGACACCAAGTGGCTGTGGTGAAAACTGCACCTCCCACACCTTTGTCTAACTCCCTCCCCTTGTCCTCTGACTGTCTCGACTGCCCGCTGTCACGATGTTGTGTTCAGGGCAAGGCAGAGTTCATCGGTCGGACCTTTGCGAAGCCCACCATCAAGATGTGTGACGAGCACTACGGCCCCCCGAGGTTCCCCCCACAGCTGGAGTACTACCAGGTGTACAGAGGGAACTGCACTGCTGGGGAACTGCTGGCTGCATTTGAACTTTTGCAGGTAATATATATACACACATGTTTAAACACACAAAGGTGAAGGGATATAAAATGGACACACTCAGAAGGACTCCTTCTGCAGAGGTTGAATATCACTGCAGAAAGATGATGTTAGTGGAGAAAAGAAGAGGACCAACAAAATCATGCAGAGAAGATCATGTAAACAATAGATACAAGTTTGTTTTCTCTCTTTAAGTGCATGTCAATGTAAAACTCATCCGTCCCTCATCCTGTTAAAAAAAACTTTTTGGTCATTTATTATCCCACCTGTATCATCACGTGCAACTTTGTCTTCTCTTTTATAATCCCTACACACTTCTTCTCCCTCTTTCCTTCTTCAAATATTAATATCACCATGCTTTCCCTTATTTCCACTACCATTCTATTATCTGCTACCATTTTCACATTTTCTCCTTTGCTTTCTGAAACGTCCATTTTCCTCTCTCTCTCTCTCTCTCTCTCTCTCTCTCTCTCTCTCTCTCTCTCTCTCTCTCTCTCTGTTTCTGACTCTTCTACCTCCTCCTCCGACCTTCAGATTCCTTTTGATGAGGAGTCGATAAGGCGAGCTCTGATCGCTGTCCATAACTTTGCTGTGCCTCAGATAAAGGTGCTCTTTCCTTTCATTCTCTTTCCATTCTACTTTGTCTAATTCTTTTGGTAGTCTCTTGTAGTCTTTCAGTGTTGTAATGCAATAACTGTGTTTTATCTACAAACACCAACGTGACATCTACCTGTACCTTATTTGCACTCTTTCAAGATTGTCACACGAAATAAAGACTTCATACAAATTTTAGGACTCAGGAAAATTATATTCAGTATGATGCTTATGCTGTATCACACATGTTACTATCGAGCTAACTTCCCTATCCTCTCTCCTCTTGAATAAGGTTGGTCAAGGTGGGAGGGCTGATCTTCCCCCCCTTGAAGGGCCAACAGACTCGGAGCATGGACCCATTCTGCCCGTGCCGTTGGGAATACGACCTGTTCTGAGTCGCTACCGCATAGAGGTGATTTAAAATAAAAAAAAACACAAAACGCTTCAGAGAGGAGCCACAAAGGGAAGGCTAACAGCTGCCAGAATAAACAGTGTTGATATGCATTATTGCTTTGGGTTTAAATAAATTATATAGACTTTATTATTTGCGATTGCCTTAACAGTAACCATTAAGATGTGATGATAAAGACTTCAACAGTCTGGAATTTTTTAGCTTCATAGAAATTAGTTGGTGCTTGAGTTGAGAAAAAAAAATCTTTAACAGCCTTATCTTATGAGTTCTAAAATTCCCCTTCCTAGTGGTTATTATTTTGTGTTTCAGGTTCTGTTCTGGGGCCTAAGGGACCTGAAGAGGATCAACCTTGCTCAGGTGGATCGGCCGCGTGTGGACATAGAGTGTGCAGGAAGAGGAGTGCAGTCTGTCCTCATCCAGAACTACAAGAAGAACCCGAACTTCAGCACCCTGGTTAAATGGTTTGAGGTGGTAAGTGCTGCTTTTTTGACATTTTGAAATCATTCAATGATTTTTCATATTATCATTGAGCTCTTTGTGATATTCCTCTGTTTGCCTCTACTCTTCTGAAATATGTGTAAAACATTTATTTTGAGCACTCTGCAAGTACAACACAGAAGAGCATTCTGAAGTCTTCCCTTTACGTCACCTCACTGACCTCATGTCCTAATTGTGTCACCAGGACCTTCCAGAGAATGAGCTTCTCCACCCTCCTCTCAATATCCGGGTGGTGGATTGTCGGGCGTTTGGCCGTTACATCCTGGTGGGGTCGCACGCTGTCACCAGCCTGAGACGTTTCATCTACAGCACTCCAGACAAGACGTCCAACAACTGGGCCACTGCAGGTGAGGGACTCTATTTATACTATTGTGATTTATCATTCTTTAAAAAGGAGCCTGTTACTTTGAATGTGGTATTTTGAGTATGACTGGTAGGAGTTGCATTGTGTTTCTTTTATCGAGTGGAAAAGTTCAATGATGAGGTGCGTGATCATCCATTTAAAAAGCGAGCTAACTGCTGTCACATGCAGTATGCTCTGATGAAGGCTTCAAGCCAAAACATGTCGGCAGTTTTTCCCTTCATTCCTTCATTAGTCAGAATAAGAATAATCAAAAGACTTATTTTTCCTTTTCATCACTGGAGTGCTGTCTTCTTGTTGAGGGGGTGGGAGGGGGGTCATACTCGATAGTTAATGAGGGATTTTGTTGTTTTTGTTTTGCAGAAGGTCATGACTTTATTGCTTATTACTGCAACTTTGAATTTTAGCATTTTCAAAAACATACAGCTTTTCTTTTGACATCTACTTTAATCATTTATTTTTTTAGTTTAAATATTGAATTGTGTGAAATAGTAGGGTTCTTGTTCACTAGAGAATGGTGTTATAGCTCTACTGTCACAATAGTATTCATATTCACCGATGCTTTCCCTCTGATAGAGAAGTCTCTAGTTTGATTGATCATTGTGCTTCAACCATCTTGAATTTTACAGTAAATTTCTTTTAAACTTGTTGGTATATTTTTATTTAGAAAAAAAAAGAGCTTTAACTTCTACCCAAAAATAAATGAAAACATTTTTTTAGACTTTGTTTTTAACCTTTTCCAAATGCCAGTAAAAAGGGACTCTTGAGAAGTTTGGATAACTACAGAAACTGTGTGTCAAGGGAGGTTAAATCCAACTTTAAGAAATACAGTTAAATACTTCAGATCCCTCTCTCTGTTCTCTAAAGTTCATTCTTGAATAATTTACTGATTTGTGCTCTTGCTTGCTCTCTGCTCTGAACACTGCTCCTGCCTGTTTCTTCCCTTTTTCTTCTTTTCCTCTCCTGCTTCGTCCTTGGCTGTCCTGTGCTCTCCTGCCGCCTGCTGTCTTTACCGCTCGGCCTCACTCCAGCTAAACTCATGAATGGCTACATGGTACTTACAAATGGCGGCTCCCAGCCTCGCTCCTCACCCAGCCTTTCCTCCCGCACGTTCTCTCGCCCTGCAGGTGACATCCTCGTCAACGTGGACGCAGACCCTTCAATCAGAAAGATGGACACAGTTGTTAAGCTGGATGCAGTAAGCTTTTCTCAGAGTTCATTCTATGAAGAGCCAAATTCTCCTGTGTAATGTATGTGTTTATAGTAGGAGAGTAGTACCGCTTTATGTCCGCTCCTTTTTACCTGCTTCCGTACACGTGCTGCTCCTACCTGCATTATCTGTCGTGTGTATTAATCCTTGTGTTGTTTTGTGTGACGCCCCCTGTAATAGACGTCTGACGCTGTAGTAAAAGTTGACATGGTAAGTGATCAATCGAATAGAAATTTGGCATCAAAAAGATTGTTCTTAATTTAACTGATGCCATGCAATGAATAGAACATGAGCGTCTGAGAAACACTGGAGTGTCTGAACTGTTTTGACAGACTGAAGAGGAGAGCGACAAAGACAAAAAGAAGAAGAAAAAGAAGAAGAAGGGCGGAGTAGAAGAAGAAGATGAGACGGACGAGAGGATGCTGGATTGGTGGTCCAAATATTTTGCTTCAATCGAGACACTGAAGGAGGTTTGTTTACTCTATTGTGGTCTCCTACATGTGCAGTGAAACATAATCTAAACGTGTTTGTTAGTCCCATAGAATCGCCCTCACTCTCAAAGTTCTTTGTGACAAAGGATTTTTTTCCTCTTTTGGTTTTCCAGACGCTCAGGGCACAGGAGGCGGCTCAGGCCGAGGCGGAGGAGAGAGAGGACCTGGAAATAGCTGCAGAGGCAGGAGGTATTGAAATACAAAGAATAAGCTCGGCAGTCAGTGTGTCCAAATGTCTGCTGCACTGGGGATATGTACCAACACTTTATTTTAAGTCTAGCTTCAGCAAGTGTAGCCACATTCCTCCCTCGTTTCCTTAAGAGTCTTTTTTTTCTTTTTTTTTTTGAGGAAGAGAAATGGTCAGCTGTTTTTTGTGTTTAGTGTTGATAGGGTGTAGAAATGTTCTGTTGTCAGTTTAACTTTTTTTAAGACATGCTTTCATTTCCTTTGTGCAGTGCATCATGGGAGAAAAGTGCTGCTGTCTAATTGGAGTATTCTTTATTTTATTACTCTTTTAGTACACTATAGAAACAGCTCTGACTCACTGTGTATTAAAGGTGCACAGCATACATACTCTCTTGTGAACAATCCCACAATGCAATTTGTCACTTTCTATGTATTCAAAAAATGTCATCTGTATATAATGACTCAATATGACCGGCTGAAGAGTAAACCTTTAAGTGTAAGATATAAAAGCGAGGGGAATGATGGAGGGATATAATCCAAGACGTGAACTGTCACATAACACATGCAGAGTATGTGCTTCCTATGGTCTGTCACCCGCCTTCATCCCATTGACTCATCCTTCATCCATGCAGTGAATGTTATCATATTCTCACCATCAACTCCCTGCATCACCCTGACCTCCCAGCTCTGCACTGCACATGAAAGTTGGCTGATACTGACAATCAAGCCTTGGGCTGCTGCTTCCTACAGCCTCTGTGCTGTACATGGGACGTCTGACTTTTGTAATAGATTAATGAATTGTGCACCACTTATTCTTGTTGCATCTTACTAAATAGAACAGCTGTCAGCACCCTTCACTCTCTGCTGCAGTGCTGCGCTGTCTCCTGACCGGCTTTAATTTCATCCTAACAGAGCGTTAGAAGGGGAGTGTGGTGCAGTTCAGTTCATTTAGAAACCCAATCTTGACGGGTGTAATACAAGTTTCACATTCTGTAATACAGCTACCTCCCCGGAGCAAGCCAGCGAGAGCAGGTCCGTCCAGATAAAGTAATTATTGGGGTTATCTCTACGGAGTGAGTGGGTGACATCTCTGATCCATTTTCCACTGCAGTAAACCACCACTGCAATCGAGCGTGATGCTCCATATCTCACACTACTGTCATTGGTACGGCTGGCGAATTAGACACTCATATGAGCAGAAAAGGACAAATGTTGCAACCAATATGGGCTTAATGTCTGATTCAAATACTTTGACATGTTAATGGAGACATTGAGAGAAATCAAATTTTTGAGAATCACGCTGTTTCTTTTTTAATCATTACCACAAGTTTATCAACCATTTTAAGGTTTCTTCCTTCTTACACTGAGGTTTTTTTTCTATTTTTCATTTGTATTTTTGCTTGAAATATCCCAGAACACAAATGATAATGAAATGAACCCAAGAAAACAACTTGAATAAACACTCTAGATGTCCTCCTGAAAAAGGGAAACTCAAAACCAGGCTTAAAATCAGAGTGTATCTGACTGAATATTTCTGTTTTTTTGGTCATTTCCTTTTTGATACTCAAGAATATAAAACTACATCCACGACAAGATGTCAGTGAAAATGGTTCTGCTGATAAACACCTGTCAGCTTTCATGTAGAATCAGTGCTGTGTTCGACCCTGCCATCACTGCTCATGACTCCAACACTACTTTGTCTACGCCTACTCCACTCATCCTTTCAATCAGATTTCAAACCCGATGACCTTCTTCTGAAAGGCTCCAAGACAAAAGAGAAGAACAAAGAGAAGAAGGGCTTCAAGGACAAGAAGAAGGGTCCGACTGCGGACGGCACTGAGAAAAAACCTGTTAAAGCAAAAGTGGATGAGCTCTTGGTGAGTCATTAAAACTCTGATGAAAACAAATAATCAGCACACAGGGATATCCATGCAGATACAAACAGTTAATGGGTTAATTGATGTACAGGTGTACAACAAGGAGCTGGAGAGTGAGTATGGGAACTTTGAAGACTGGCTCCACACTTTCAACCTGTACAGAGGGAAGGCTGGGGATGATGATGAACATGCTCTGGATGATGACAGGATTGTTGGAAGATTCAAAGTGAGAAAACACTCAATCAAGGCTAGACTGAAAATGAATATACAGCAACGTATTCACCTGTTGATTATTCTTTGATCCAGGGATCCTTGTGTATGTACAAGCTACCTCTGTCTGAGGAGATCACAAGGGAGGCGGGATTTGATCCAAATATGGGAATGTTTCAGAGCATTCCTCACAACGATCCAATCAACGTCCTCGTCCGTGTCTATGTTGTCCGGGTGAGTGGCCCTCTTACCATTTCAATATATGCTGCAGTTAAAAAAAAACACTTAACTATTCCTGATAATCAGGTTAAAAAAATCCTGCTGTTGCTCTCTTCTGTTTTCCTCTACCTCAGGCTACTGACCTTCATCCTGCTGACATCAATGGGAAGGCTGATCCTTACGTCGTCATTAAGTTGGGCAAAACGGAGGTCAAAGACAAAGAGAACTACATCTCCAAACAGCTCAATCCTGTGTTTGGAAAGTATGTTAAAAGAAAGCTCTGCTTCATTTAGTTTTACAGGAGACATTTCTGGCTGACATACCAAGGTCTTCAAAACATACGCAAAGAAATATGTGCATGATCTTAAAAAGGAGCATTAAAAAGCTGATAATTTATAAGAATCAAACCTTGTAGAACCCAACAGCCCTCATATAATATAATTATGTAGTTATAGGGATATTCTGAAAATGACATATTTTACAAGCTAACTCAGATGCAGGGAACAGGATTATAGTGAAGTTGTGAAAGTTTGTTGCAGAGAAGAAAGGACGTGAGATGAAGTGGAGAAATGGAAGATGGCAGAGCAGCGTGGGAGACAGAGAAAGCTAAAAAAAAAAAGAGCTGGGTAATTTGAGAGGTGCAGGAGTGACAGGAGGAAGAGAAGCAAACAGGAATGCTGGAGCACAGGAACACAAACAAGTATTACATCACAAGTCTTTACTACTTTACTATAAATGTGTTGTTATTCAGGTCATTTAAGGATGGATTTTCAGGGCTGGTTCACTACATATTTAAAAGTGTATTGTGTTGTTAAGTGCAGGTTAAAACTTTCCCTGTATACTAATCATGGGGCAGGGATATTCTAAAACCTAGTTTAAAAATTTTCCAGCTGCAGGCTAGCTTTATGCCCCAGAGTAAGATAGGTAAGACATATGCCACTCCAATGCCAGGCGACCTGTCTGTGTTTGTGGTTGGACTCAAATATGGATTTAACAGAACCTGAATTTCTCTCTATTCTTGTTCTCCATGTATTCTATTTATCCTCCTTTTTTTCTGTTTATAGATCGTTTGACATCGAGGCCACGTTCCCCATGGAGTCCATGCTGACCGTGTCAGTGTACGACTGGGACCTGGTCGGCACTGATGATCTGATTGGAGAGACAAAGATCGACTTGGAGAATCGTTTCTACAGCAAATACAGAGCCACCTGCGGCATTTCATCCAACTACTCTGTGTGAGTTAAACATACGTTTTTTTACCTGTACTTGTGTTAGCTGTTTTTTCTTATCATAGTACTGCCATATAAAACTCAACTCTTGTCATTTGATTTGGACAGTTTTATAAATAACAATACAAACAGCTAGTCTCATAAAACATTGAGTAGCCCTGAAATGAAAGCTGATTGATGGCCCACAAAATCAAAGACTAAAGAAGCTAAGTTACCTCTTTGTTATGTACTGATGTTAGCCATGGATACAATGTTTGGCGGGACCCTCTGAAGCCCACTCAGATCCTAGCCAAGCTCTGTAAGGATGGCAAGACTGATGCACCTCAGTATGGACCAGGAGGAAAAGTCAAGGTGGCAAATCGAATCTTTACGGGAGCCACAGAGATTGAAGACGAAAATGGTACGACTCCATTCTTCTCTTAAAGGACCAAAATAGTGATACCCATGTGATGGCAATAAGAGGTGATCAGTAGATTCTGATGTTGTATTTTTATAAGTTATGAGTACACTTACCATAGTCTTGGTATTCTTTGTCACAATTAGGTTGATTTCTTTGTACATTGTCTTCTTCCACCATCGTTTCACTTGTTCCTGTTGTAAAAGAAAAAGATCCATTACATAATCAAACAGCTTACCCTTTAGATCCACTCAGTAGTATAGTAGAGTCTAACCAAATGGCATGATTATTATCTGAATGTTTCCATTACTCTTAGAAATGATAGTGTCTGTATTAAGATCAGGCTGTGTTATAAAAAAAAAAGTCCAGTAATGCTAAATCATTGTGTTTGCTGTGAGATTTTTTTTCAATCCTTTGATCTCCTTTTGCTTGTGTCCATGCGTCAGGTCTGAAGAAGCAGACTGAGGAGCATTTGGCTCTGACGGTGCTGAACCACTGGGAGGAGATCCCTCGGGTGGGCTGCAAGCTGGTCCCTGAACACGTGGAGACCAGACCCCTGCTGAACGTCGACAAACCCGGAATAGAACAGGTAGGAAGGACTAAGCTGTAATGTGTATTTTACTGGTGTGCACTTTTTGTTACTTTTGCACTTCTACTTCGGGGTAGATCATTTATGGTTTCATTCTTTATCATGTTCAGTTGTGTGGCGGGAGCATTTTGTAAAGTCACTATGCTAATGCTTGGCTTAAATTGTTAAAAACAGATTCAGTTCATCTCTAACTCCGCTCACACATATAATTCAGAATCACAAAGTGAACTACCATAAGTCCACAGATGATTCACAATTCTACACATCATTCTCTCAGATGACTTTGATCCCAAACATTCCCTCCCTCACTGTCTTCATATCAACCAATGGATGTCAGAAAACTTTCTACAACTTAACAATGACAAAACAGCAAGTTCTCATTTATCATTTTTAAAAGTCGCATCAATCAGCTCACAAAATCCCCCTTTTACGTACTAAAAAAAATATCTTAAAACTCAGGAGCTTTCTGTCAGTCTCAGACCAAAATCATCTATTCACCAACTACAACTACCTGAAATTTAAAATACAGCTGCGTGGATTCTCACAAGAACCAAAAAGACGTAAACACATCACCCCAGTTCTTCACTCCCACCATTGGCTCTCGGGTCTGTTACTTGTGTTCAAAGCACTGAATGGTTTCGCCCCTCAGTATATAAAGGACATGCATGTCAGCTACACGGCAGGTAGAACCATCAGGACCCCAAGCAGAGATCATCTGACCTCCCCATGAACATATCCAAAACAGGAGAGGCTGCTTTAAGTTTGTAGTTGCTTGTTGTACTTGTAAATACATGGGTTGTTTCATACCCCTGTTTTGTATGTTTTGTATAAGGTGGTACAAGCCCTGACTCTTTGATAACTCTTTTCTGTATTTGCATTTGACTGCTTGTTATTGTTTCATTTTTCCACTCCATGTGAAGCTCATTGTGTTGCCTTGTGTTTGAAGTGTGCTAGATGAATAAGGTTGGACTTGACTTGACTTTGAAGTTTTTCTTTTTGTGTTCTAAGGGCCGCATTGAGATGTGGGTGGACATGTTTTCTATGGACATGCCTGCTCCTGGTCCTGCGATTGAAATATCACCACGGAAACCAAAGAGGTAGGCACAGGCAACAGCAGATAAGACAATCTCTTTCAGAATAATGCTTTCTGATTATGAAACTCGATGGGAAACATGTCTGTAAATTGCTTTCAAAGTGACTAAAGCTCTTCAGTTTCTCAACAGAATATGTAGTTGTATCCCTGGGTTAAGTTATGGTGAGTCTGTTTGAATAGCCAGCTCTCTTTTACTTTCAGCTTTAAGTCCAACTGTGTGTGTATGTGTTCCTTCCTCCTCCCCTCCTTTACCAGATATGAGCTCAGGGTGATTATTTGGAATACAGACGAAGTTATACTGGAGGACGATGATTACTTCACTGGGGAAAAGTCCAGTGACATATTTGTCAGGGGGTAGGTACAGAGGGACACGGCGACCTAGCCTCGTCCCGTGGGTGTGAGCTGTGTGTGGATTTTTTTTTTTTTGCAGTTAACCATTTTTTTGTTTTGTTTCCATTTTTTTCTGTGTGCGTTTTGTGTTGTTTGTCTTTGTGTTTGTGGTGTGTCTCCTGTCTGTCTGTCGTCCTCTCTCTCTCCTCTGGTCAATGCTCTGCTGCTCTCTAGCTTTGAGCTTCGTGTTGTTATTTGGAACACTGATGACGTAATTCTAGAGGACGATGCTTTCATGACAGGAGAGAAGATGTCTGACATCTATGTCAGGGGGTAAACACACGATTCCATCGCATGGCTCGTACAACCACCTCCCTTTCTTGTTTCCTTAAGCCCTTGTGTCATCACCCCTCCACCCACCTCCCACGTCCTGTCTCAACTCTTCATCCAGCACGTGACCTCGCTTGTCTAACTTTCCAATGAGCACGCTGAAAACTGTTTCTTATTGAAAAAAATGTTCAGTAAGGGTCAAACCACAAAAACAACCTGAGTACAATAATAAGAGCCAAAACTCACAAACATACTGACATTGAAAGTTCACTCACAGTATTGGAAACAGCAGAAACCATTTATTATTATTCATGAGGACTTTTTCATTCTAAATTTCATTTGAGTATGTTTTTGTTTGATATGTTCATTCTGTCTTTCTTTGAACTCCAGGACAGCTACTAATTGGACCGGGTAGTGAGATTGTTTCGACAATTTCAAACACCAAAGTGGTCCTCTAGTCATCTTTTTCTGAAGCTTTCAGCTCATGAACAAAGACGTTTTTCCTTTTTGGTTAAAATCCTGTTTCCTAGTTTGCCAACAACCATTATCACTGACATAAGAATCCACTTACTACTTTTTTCAAGATGCGATGTCATCAGTGAATAAAGTTTGACAAATATGCTTTTCTTCTAGCCCTACTGTCATTGATATTTATTCCTTGTTGTTGATTTTCAGACTACTTGATTATTTTTGTTTCCTTTTTTCAAATGGCTGTTTCCAATGTAAGCAGTGAACTTCAGCACTCATGTCAGATATATCAGGGCTTTCAAACAAGAAGCTGCTTATGCTCTCTGTTCTGTGGTTTGGTCCTGTTATACAGATTCTACTGCGAATTACTCAATTTGAAGAGTTTCAAGATATTTTAAGTTCTGAGTTAAGATGATTTTGAGCCTCCTGCATGTATATGAACAAAAGGTATGCATGGTGGGAAGACAGAACTTCAATGTTTTTTTTTAAAACATTGTCATTGGAGCGCGGGTCAAGAACTGAGGGGCTCCTCACCATTTCACTGGGGGCGATGCCTAACGTCCTGCATCATGCAGAGTGTCATGTGCCTGTTGGCTTGCTTTGAGTTGTTTTGTTAATTTTTGATGATCGAAATTTACAATAACTTTATACATAATAAATGTCCTCTGCCCAAACGTAAACCTCATGCCAAGCTGTAACCTAAAAGCTGAGATGATTTGTTTTCCTCCATTTACCAAAACGTTCGATTGTTGCCTCTTCTAATGCTACTAACGGTGTTGTCCGATTGTGAGCAGACTTTCCTGAAGATGATCAAGGAGCAATATTCTTCCACTGTAGAAGACTTTGCTTTATTAATATTTAGAACCATAACTTCTCCATGAAGTAAATCAAGCTGGTTTTAGAGCCTTATCCGAAACTAACTGATGTTTCGTTTGGGTTCAGGCACACAGCACACAGCAGTCTCCTACGTGAAAAACAATCTGCTTTGCTGTGATGCATTCACTGTAAAGTTTTCAATACCTCCCCCATCCAGCTGAAATACCTCACCACTAATAATCTACTGGACTTACCAGTAAATAATCATTTTGCTCGTATGTCCCAGCACTTCGTGAGCCACTTCTTTATATGTGATAAATAAAGTTATTCTTTCTGTATCTTCTTCATAGTAAACATTTTGACTTGTTAAGGGCTGCTGTAAATGTTGCCTCTTGCCAATGAAACTGCCTTTTGCTCCAGCCTATAAAAGATGTGATTTTCAGATGTGGAGAATAGATAAAGACTGAACTGGTGGAGCCACATCATGTGAGCAGTGTTTGAGTGTTGTGCTGTAGTGTGTAGTGTGTAGTCAGGTAGTTTCAGTAACAGTGGGCTGGTTATTGCTCCAAAAACAAAATACACGCTTTAATGAACTTCAATGACAGATGATGGAAGACAGTAAATACTCAAGGATGGATCTGTAATGTAAACAACCCATGTGTAACTAAGAACATTAATAATAGAACATGCCATTACATAATTCTAATTAGCCAATGTAGCATAGCAAGCAATAAAATAACAGCTCCTGGAAACTGGAAACTAAACATAACACAGTCATTATTGATGTTTTTAACTGCAATTTGCTTTTATTGCCATCTAATGGTCAATATAAAACGGATAAGGTCTATAATGCATTTTTTTATTGTTGATCCCTGATCAGCGTTTTTATTTCAGTATGTTGCAGAGTTTCTACACTACTGCATCAGCTAACCGAACCCACTTTTCTCTCGGCTGAAATGGTGTGATCCATTGGTGTCCATTTTATCATACAGCGGTTATGATTCAGTTTCTGACTTCATGTCAACACAGGCATGTTTAGTGATATTGTGTCCCTTGCAGCCAAGCTAAAACTTCCCAATGCTTTCTCCCCTGAATCCTGGTGCATCTTACATCGTTGCACACTCCCTCATATTTTTCAGTTTTCACTGAGATGTTTCTGACTGAAATTCCCCTGCTCCAAGCTCACATTTCCATGTCTTTAGTTTTTGCATTTTGAGAACTGAGAGTGCAGCTTTCCTCCTGCTCTCCTCACTAATGAAGCCAGACTCACTCAGCTGTTACGGAAAGAGGTCCAGCCAGCACAGAATGACCTCATATGCTTTGATCCTCTGCAAACTCCATCCAGGCATTAATTAGGAACCTTTCTTAAGGAAAATTAGACAATTTTTGCATTGATCAGCATTGATCTAAAATGGCATTTTTTAGTTTGCATGGCTTTTGAAAATACTGTGAAGCTCCAACATCAAATCAGATTTGTATTTTTTTTTTTTTTCAGAAACATTTTTCATGTTTGTCACACACGTATATTAATCTGATTTGCTTTTGGGGTGAAACATGTGTTTTGATTTTAACCTATTAGCATCATCTCTCTTGTTAGCAGCCTGGTACATTTAACATGTCCTATGCTCTTGTTTAAATCAACCAAATTAATTTAAATGAATCAATAATTGGTTGGTATGTCTACAAATTAGACATTAGAAGTGCATGAATAACTGAATAAATCAAACAGAAAATGATTTCCACTCATTCCACTGAACCCTGCTCCTGCAGTTCGAGCTAACTGTGATCTCTGTGGCTCTTCACAGATGGCTGAAAGGTCAGCAGGAGGACAAGCAGGACACAGATGTGCACTATCACTCTCTGACCGGTGAGGGAAACTTCAACTGGCGCTTTGTGTACCCCTTCGATTACCTCATGGCTGAGGAGAAGATCGTTATCTCGAAGAAAGAGTCCATGTTCTCCTGGGATGAGACAGAATATAAGATCCCTCCTCGCCTCACGCTGCAGGTCTGGGACGCCGACCACTTCTCTGCTGATGACTTCCTGGGTGAGGACTGATGGGAACAGCCGCCCTCTGGACTTTAATGTTTCCAATATTTCTGTTTCTTTTGTTGCTTGTATTCAGCAGAAATTCCCTTCTGGTTTAGTAGAAAAAAATGCAGATGTATCACCGCCCTTGAGTTTATAATGACTGGATGAAGCAACATTTTCTCCAACTTAACAGCGATAAGACCGACATCATTATCTTTGACTCATAGATAGACAGACACAGTGTTCTAATCTAGTAATCTAATGACTCTGTAGAGCACATTGAAATTGTTTGCGTATGAATGGTGCTCTACAAACAAACTTGCCGCCTTGCCTTACTGTCTGACTTGTTTGAATTCCAACACTTCCAGGTGCGATCGAGCTGGACCTGAACCGGTTCCCCCGCGGCGCCAAGACAGCCAAGCAGTGTTCCCTCAACATGATCCGAAATGAGCATGAGCTGCCCACCATTTCCATCTTCAAACAGAAGAGGGTGAAGGGCTGGTGGCCCTTTGTAGCCCGTGATGAGAACGATGAGATGGAGCTCACGGTAAGTCCTAAAATACTGAGCACATAACAGCACAATAAGGTTCAAAAAAGCATTATAAAGCCATCATGGAATACAGTCAACAATTTCAAGAACACTGTAAATAAAGAAAACCATCAAAGTAAGAACATGAACGATCCATTGATACCTAACCTTGGGGTCAGACCTGCCCCTATGTCAAAACATAAAACTGCAGTGTATGAAGAATATCAAAAGATTAATTTGAGCATTTAATCCTGTTTTCTCTTATTGATGCATTTCACCTTAAAGGAAATGATTTAAAAAAATCTGTGTTTTAAACTGTTACGATGAGTCGCAAAGGAGATGAATTGAAAGTCTCTCAGTGAATATACACAAACAAAACAACGCTAAAATCCACTTTGTTAAGGGCAGAACGGGGAGGATTTGTTGCAGCATGTCTGCAGAGATATCATTTTGGTAGATTCAGATGAAGAGCACAGAGCAGTGTGTGTGTTTAAGATATCTAGAGAATGAATTACAAGAAGTAGTTGATAGTGAGAACAAATCTGTTAATCAGAGAAATAAAACATGACTTAATGACTCTTTCTGTTGCTGTTGCTTTCCAAAACATGAAAAAACATGTCCACAACTCCACACAACCCAGCTGGTGCTGGATTTTATGTGAATCGGAAAAAAAAAGCTAACTTCATCCTGCTGGCTGTAGACTCAAAGATCTGCAAGCCCAGTCATGTTCTAACAGACCCTCAAGCTTTTGGCTGAGGGCTACACACCACAGTCCAAAAGTTGACAGACACCTCCTATACTAGCAAAAGAACCAGCTCGCTGCGAATCTCACTTGATGATTGAGAGGAAGTTTACAAACCAAGTTTTACACTTTAGGGGAAAATTTATTGAGGAAAACTTAGTATGTAAGAACAATGACTACTTTCAAGGTAAATAAATCCAAGTTGGATCCATGTTTTTGTTTCTTTTTAAACATAAAGGACATTGGAGCGTAAGTAGCTCAGCCGGTAGGGACTTAGGTTGGGAACCAGAGTGTCACCAGCTCAAGTCCTGGTGTGGACCTAAGTATGTATGTTGGTCTGGTTGTTGGAGAGGTTCCATGTCACTTCCCGAATACTGCAGAGGTGCCCTTGAGCAAGGCACTGAAGCAGTCCCTGTATAGCAGCCCGTCTCCAACATCTCTCCATTAATTCATATCCATAGGTCCTTTTTTGTGTATATTTATAATTTGTGTGTGTCTGTTAATTTTTCTTTTTGCCTTTGTCATGATGCTTTTAATGTCTTGTGTGAAGTACTTTGAATTGCCTTGTTGCTGAAGTGTGCTCTATAAATAAACGTGCACTGCCTTAGAAATAGTGTCTCTCTGTTGTTGCAGGGTAAGGTAGAGGCGGAGCTTCATCTGGTCACAGCAGAGGAGGCAGAGAAAAGTCCTGTAGGACTGGGAAGAAATGAGCCGGATCCACTGGAGAAACCAAAGTAAGATCCTATACATTTATCGTTTATGTTGTACTAACACAAACACACACACTTGTTACACACTTGTTAAAAAAACTTAATGATGGTTGTATGGAGCAAAATAAAGGCACAGACATCACTGTCCCTTTAATCTCCTTCAAGAAATCCATTCTCACAGTGCAAAACTCAGTGGAACAAATGCTTCATTACAAATCACCACCGATTGAACTTCATATTTATTTGACCTTAGCCCTGGTTTTTGCACTGTCAAACAGCCACTGTTACACTTTCGCACTCGTTTCTCCTCCTACCATCTCTTCAACTGTCTCCCTCTGTCTCTTCCCTCCCCTCGTCCCTTTTGTCCATTTTTGTGTGACTCCCTCTTATCTCCCTTCCTCCCTGTTTTTTGCCTCCATCTGCATTCCTTCCTTTCTTCCCTCTCTTCCTCCTTCCACAAAGTCGTCCGGACACCAGTCTAATGTGGTTTCTGAGCCCCCTGAAGTCCATTCGTTACTTCATCTGGCACAACTACCGCTGGCTGATCCTCAAAGTCCTGGGCCTGGTTCTGCTGCTGCTCATGTTGGGCCTCTTCCTCTACTCCATCCCCGGCTACCTGGTCAAGAAGATACTGGGGGTCTGACGTCCTGGTAGCCTCCGCCCCCTCCTCAGTGTCTCTGCTTCTCTTATTAACCTCTTTGCTTCCTACCTGTAGCTCCTTCTCAGTGTGTTTGTTTTCTCCCTTTTTATCTGCACTCCTTTCTCTCCTCTGCGGCCTTATCAGTAGATTAGTGACTGTGTCTACTACCATCAGGTGCCATTACACATCTTTCAAGCGACCAACTGTTTAGTATGAAAACAAGCGGTCAGTTTTAGGGATTGAAGAGCCGGCAGAAAATGCTGTTTACATCATATGTGATGGATGGTAAACAAGGGAAAGATTCCTGCGAGCATGGCAAGTTAATTTCTCTGTGCAAATGAGATGATTTAAATTGCAGGTGTGTTGCATGGTGTGTAAAAATACCATGCATTGATGATTTAACATAATATTCAAGCTTGATTACATTTTAAACCACAGGCCGGCTTGTATTTTTGACTTTCATGCTCTTCTGTTTTTTATTACCTGCCATTTTGGACATACTGTATCCTAGGATCCAGAAAAGTCTGATTTAGTTAGTACAACTTAGATGTGAATGTAAACACTATTTACAAGTCTCTTAATTATTCTAACTCCAACATGTCATGAACACAGTGTTAGGTTAGAAAGACATATCAGGAGTGTCATTATCATTCATAAAGCAATGATACATTAGTTATGTTACATTGACTCAATAACATTGGAATACATTCAACAGAAGAAGAAAAAACAGGCATACTGTGTCTTTATAATGAAGTTAAATTTAGTTGAAATTCTATAAAATGATTAGAGGCTTTTGGATTCACTCTTTCCCTTGAAGTGCTTTCGCGCTTGCAGAAGACTTCTGAAAAGATCCTGATATTTGCAGGAGGAGCTGTATGTGTGAACGCAAACAGCCACAGATTTCACTCTGACTTTACCCAACTTACCTGCCAGCCCTCTTGTATTATTTCCTCAGTCTGCAAGTCTGAGTGAGCTGATGTGAGAACACAGCAGGATATTATCAGGAGAAATCCCCTCAAGCGAGTGGAACAGGGTGGTGACGTTTATATCCTGAGAGCGGTACACAGTGCAGAAAATGTATACACAAGACCGCTGCGATCTCCGTGCACGTTATTGAACGGCTGCATTATGTTTTTCTGTTCTCCATTATGATATGTCTCCTCTCTGATGTTGATACTGTCAACTACAAGTTGCAGTGATATAAAGGCAAATACTTTCTTTATTCTGTGAGGTGCATATGTGAACAGGCAGCACCAGAGAATTTCAGGAGCAGTCTAGATAGAGATCTATCTAGATATTTTCAGGAGTGTGTTTTTGAAAAATGGCTTTTAGAGATGCAAGTCAATGACTGGATAGAGTAACCAAAAAGGTCAGACAATACATCTGTAGAAAAACCTGAGTTTGGGAGTGTTGGTCATTCATCCATCAATCCATTTTTATCTGCATATTCAATGTGCTTTTTATTCTTTTAACTTTTACACTGTGATGTGATCTTTTGGTCCTACGTAATGTTGGATTGGTAGAAATGTGAAGCATGCTGTAGTGAAAACTAATAATTATTACCTGGCTTACTAACCACTAATGCCAGTTTTCTCTCTCTTTTACTCTCCCATGTTACATCACATCTCTTTCTCCCCTTTTCCCATCCACTCACCCTCCATTAACTCACTCCTTCATTCACTTATACACCTTCTCCATATTTCACTGCCTCCAGTCGGCCAGACACCACCTTCCTGTGGTTCCTGAGCCCGCTGAAAGCCATCCGCTACCTGATCTGCAACCGCTACAAGTGGCTGATCATCAAGATCGTGCTGGCCATGCTGCTGCTCATCATGCTGGGCCTCTTCCTCTACAGCATGCCGGGCTACCTCGTCAAGAAGCTGCTAGGGGCCTGAAAGCCAGTCGAGAGAGAGAGAGGAAGGGAGGGTGGGAGGGAAAAGGGGACGACCACCCGGAAAGATGGAAGGTTGGATGGAGAAGACAAAAAGTACAAGGAGTCTCGCTCACAGGGGGGGGAGGCAGAGGGAGGAGGAGGCACTTTAGAGATCCAATTGCAATACTTTTCCTCCTCTGTTTTCCATTCTGATCATCCTAAACAGCACCTCCCATTACCTAGAAGAGACGCTGACCCCTCCTCAAAAGACATTTTTCCACTAACTGTCTACTCCTCCATCCAATCTGCAGCATCCTATCAAATCTAACGTTCAGAATCTGGACTCCATCCTTGAACTGAACTCAAAAGCAATCATTTGCCGCTCGAGTTGTTACATGACTCTGAATGTTTCTTTTTCTGTTTAAACAGTTTATCAAGCTAAATCCAAGTGTTGTGTTGGTGGTCAGATGATTGCATGGACGTTCATTTCGAGTGATGCTTTAAGATCTCCCATTCCAGCTAAAGTGTTGAGATAAATAGAAATTAAATGAACAATGTTTTCGTAGCACTTGGCTCTATCAACCCTTATTTAGAATGAATAAGCACTATATAAACATTGAATGTAGTTGTAAGCTGATATGGTATTTTGATGTGTTTATTAATGTACAGCATCTGTGAATGAAAACTTCTCCTGTGGATACCAGTTTTACATTATAACACTAGAGCTTTTAAATATGTTCTTTTATCTGTGTATGCACCAGCCACATGTATCAGCTTACAATTACATGTATTCTATGTTTATATACTGCTCATAGATAATATGTAGGGGGTTATAATAAGTGTGAACTTTTCTTTTAAATATTGAGATCTGCGACATTTGCACACTTAAAGAATATGATGAAGAAAAAAACAAAGATGTCTATTTTCCTAATTAAATCCCTTAGATTAAAATGAGACAAAGGTCAAGATAACTTCCAAATGATTTCAATATCTTTACAGACTTAATGCATATTTAATCTCCTGAATCAAAGCAACACAGTTAGACTTCGTTCAAACAGAATTTGCAAACTAAAAAATATATATATATACATTAATATATTTGATCCTTTTTATAATTATATGGTACAAGACAAGCACAGCTCAGCAGTCTTTCAGTGATGCACACTTCATCATTATTCAAATATCTTTGCATATAAATGCTCCGCAGCTCACTGTGATAATCCCCACTGTTAAAACCTGCACACCAGAATCACAGAAATGATTTGCACTTTTCTGTTTGACTTAATCTGACTTATAAGTCCTTTAAAGCAACAAAAACATCACAGTTACTACTGTTATCTACCAAAATGTCAATATGCATGCATCATTGTGATAACTGACCACAGAGGTCATGTGTGTTGGCATGAAAATCCAAATGAACTACCCTGTTGTCTTTAACATTACAGTTAATGTATAAATATGATTAAAGTGCACTTGAGTGAAGCTGTAAAAGGAAGTACGGTTTATTTCACAAAACTCTGAATCCATCTTTGAATCAGTCGGCGTTGTTTGCAGTGTCTGTTACTCCGTTTCAAATTTGCCTGCTTGACCTCATTTGTGTTACAGTCTGTGATTCTGTTTCACCAATTTACAGAGTTAATGTTTGCACTGAACTTGCCTGTTTTTACAATGAATCTGTGTTTATATATCTGTTTAAAAGTGTGTAATATTTATTTTCTGTCTGTTTTGGCAATTTGAAATAAACCGATTTCCATGGTCTTCATGTTTTTAGATTCTCCAAGCGCTATTGTCTTTTTATTTAAAAAACAATGAATCACATTCCCTCCTTTGTAGTGACATATCCTCAGATAGTTACCACCAAATTCTGCTGTCTACAAAGCTTTAAAACATGTTTCAGTGAAATAACAGGGTTCCCTGCCCACAGTTCAGTATCTTCAGTTTGTAAATGACTGAGCAACAAGCATGAGAACACATTGGATCATTAAGAAGCTAGCTTAAGATTTAGCTTCTTTTGGCGCTTGCTTATCCAATTCATGGGAAACGGTCCTAGGTGGCCTCAAGGGGGCAGTACTGAGCAAATGCAGACTTGAAAGATTTGTAGTTGGTGGAGACTGAAAAAAGAGATTTAATAATTGACAATAATCTTAAATCCAACGTCCAATCATATAACGCAAGTGTTGCTCTAAATGCTGGATGTTGCCACTGTTGGCTATTGAAGTTTGCTTTGTTATTTTTACAGGCGATATGTAATTATAGTGTTCACACACTGCCCCCTGGTGGTCTTTTTTTTACTTCCACTGTCAGGGATTGAGAAGGTGAAATGAGAGTTGTGAGTCTTCTTTCACCAGATGTGGTACATCTTTAGTACTCTTTGCAATAATACAACAGCTGTCTTACTCTGAATCTCTCTGTCCAGTCGCCCCAGCGGCAGCATGTCGTGGCTGCTGAGCCCAGCGAGGACACTGTGTATCCTGGCCTGGAGGAACTACAGGCTCCACTGCGTGTTGCTGCTGGCTGCTGTGCTGGGCCTGCTCTTTGTTGCTCTGCTCTTCTTCTCTCTGCCGTCAGAGCTCAGCCACAAGCTCTTCCACACTGCGGGATAAAACCACTGTATGACTCTGTGCTAGTGTGTTTACATTGTACCCTATATCACCATATGTACTGGGGATGTTATTCACTGCTCTACCAATTTCTTTCTACTGCAGCTGTAAAATAAAGACTGAAAGCACAACATGATGCAGTAGAAGCTTTATTTATTTACTGAGTTCCAGTCCTTTGAGTAGTGTCCCAGTTCTGCTTATTCCATGTTAGTTTAGGGTAAGGGCATCTCCAGCTCTGTGTTGACCTATCAGAGAGACAGAGTTATGAGACGCTACCAAAGAGGCACAATCATTTGTTTGGTTTTGTAGATGCATGGCTGTCTTTAAATTCGTATGTGAATTCAAACATGCATAAAACAGTAAAAAAAGAGAGATTCAGAGCCCAACACCTCCAGTTTAAGTCTTCAAAATTGCTTATGTTTCACAAAACACTAAGATATTCCATTTGTAACTGTAATGAAGGGAGAAAAGCAAAAGGTCTCTTTTAAGAAGCTGGGTCAAGAAAGTAGGTCATTTTAGATGAAATATTCAATTATTACTTATATGTCACTTATTGATGTGAATTTTCTGGTGGTTTCCTAATCAACTTATATGAGTAGAAATATACTAATACTATTACTTCATGCACAATACTTCTTAGTATTTGGTTATCTTAATTTTTGCAGTGGAGGTCCTCAACCTGTACCATTACTAAATATCTGGAGAACAGCTTTACAAACACAATAGAACTATTAAACGCAAATAAAAAACAAACTCCCTTACTATAGACTGTAGAGACTGTTGCAGCAGCATCCGCAGCTCTGCGTTCTGCTGCTCCAGACTCTGAGTCTCTGGAATGAGCTCAGAGATCTCCGTCAGGACCACACTGGGAACGCCGGAAGAAAATACTTATTTGATTGCAGAGGGATGTTTGCTTTGCATGTGTGTGTGTGTTTGTTGCCGTTACTCACTGGTACTGATTCAGTTCTCTCTCTGCAGCTTCCCAGAGGTCCACTTTGTCCTCAGAGATGATGTTGCCCACGCTCTCCCAGTAGGCTTCAAGCTCTGAAGGATCCCGGGCTGCTACATGCTGAAAACTGAGATGTTGGCGGGCTTGAACTCTCCGCAGGCACAAAGCAGAAAATATTCATCGATAAAGACCGCCTTAGCTTCAAATTAATCATATTAACAAATGTCTTTTTTCAGGATATAACTGAACTCTCCGCAGGCACACAGCAGAAAATACTCATCGATAAAGACCGCCTTAGCTTCAAATTAATCATATTAACAAATGTCTTTTTTCAGGATAAAACTGTGGTCTTACCTGGATCTCACATGCTGTGCGAGGAAGCTCTTCAGAGCAGGCAAAACATGGTTTGGATCAATGAGCTCAGAGGTCACATGCCTCCTACAGCTGGTCCCCATTTCTTCATCCTTGCTAATGGACTCATGTGACTCTTTACAAACATCCTGTAGGCAAATAAAAAAACTAGTAGAAATGCAGAAATAATGATTGCATATTGCAAGTCTTATCTGTGTCCCTCCTTACCTCAGTCTGCTCTGCCTGCTGAGGTTTGTACTTCAATAAGAAATGAGCCAGTCTGTGAACTTCTTCCACCTTGATGCCTAAAGCCTGAAAGAGAAAACAATGTTTCTTTATTCAGGATGGGCTCATTACTGTCCAACAACATGCTGGTGCATCCCAAACACTGACTCACTGAGAGGAGGGAGCCCAGCTTCACTACGGTCTGTTTTTCCTTCTCCAGAGGATCCAGCAGGTTCAGGAGTTTGTCCTCCAACAGGAAACCCTGTGACAGGTGGAAGGGAAACATTTGGTTGGAGTAACCTTATTATAACATTATAATTAGCTCTCTTGCCGTGAGTTAGCTGAGAAGAAGATTCATACAACTCCTATGTCAGTATGCTAGTCTGCTGGCTCTATCCAAAAGTAACAAAAACCTTCAATCAGCATCCCTCAGCCTCACTTATTTCTAACATCAATGTTTTTCTTATCTTATGTTTAGTTAAAGGATTATATGTCAGAATATTTCTTTCCTATGGGCAGTGGCTGCACTACTGTGGCTTGTGATTGTGATCCAAAAATGGTGACACATTGTGTTTTCTTCTGTGCAAACTTCTACTTGATAAAGTGTTGCTCAACCAAACAAATCTTTATTTCTCACCGCCTCATCACACAGCAGCTCCATCACTTTTTTTAGAGTTTCATTCGTCAATTTCCCCTCCTCCTCGTCTTCAGCACTCTCACTCTGCATTGCTTTTGCTTCCTTGCAAGCGTTGACGTTTATGATATCGGTATCAGTCTCTAAAGTAGGCCCAACTGAGGCGTCCATCATCCTCTGACCACCCTGTGAAGTGTCTATGTTGCCGACAGCTTGGTGGGTGGAGCTCTGGCCTGTTTTTGGGTGGGATCGGTTTGCTCCATGAACGGCAAATTAGGTCGCACCCAAGCTATGCCGAGGGACTGCTCGCAGATCAGCGAGTCTATAATTAAAACTTTATCAACTAGTTGCTTCACCTCTTCTTCAATCATCAGCCACATCTGCTCAAATTTTCTAACACTGGCGCCTGCAAAGTGCCTGCAGAGAAGAGACAATTCATGTATCAGAAATAACAAATCACACATTAACACAAGGTTCATCAAAACCTGTCAGTCTTTTATTGTTGTGCTTGTTCGGTCCAGCTTTTTGTGTATTTGTTGTTGATATTCATGTATTTTAAAGGCCCATCTAGGGATGGGAAATTGCAAATTAGTTTAGCTATAAATGCTGTAGTCTGTGGCAACGGTTTACATCCTCCATACTTGTCCCTATACAAATAAACATGAAATAAATAAATAAATAAAATTGATAATGACTCACTTTATTTTCTTCTGTGCTTGTTCGTATTGCTGGATGTTGCGTTTGTAGTGTTCAGGCAATTGCCGGCTCCTCGCTGCAAACTGTTCCTCCTGGCTGCTAAATTGAGCCTTGAGATTTTTTATCTCAGTTTTCAGACTGAAACACAAAACCATCCCTGATTAACACAGAGTGGATGAATTATAATGCAGAGTAAGTTCGGCTGTTTAAACCTGGTATTATGGATGTGACCTGAGAGATCCAATCACACGTAGATGGCTTTAAGTACAGCTGTTCCCACTTTATGTGTAAATAAACATGGCACCTCATTCACTTCTATAAGCCTTTAATCAAACGATTAATAAAATGTGATGAAGACACACTGCAGAGCAAGCCAGAGAGCTGGGCTCATTCGCCAAAGCACCAAAGAGGGTGTGGCTGATCTCTGACTGAAGTCATGAAGTGATATAAAACTTAAAGGGGGGGTTGGTAATTTTCTCCTGATACACATTTTAAGATTTTGGTTGAAATTGTCTTCAGCTCCTGACAGACATTAATAACTCATGCTCTGCAAAAAGGAACAAAGAAAATCTGTCATCTGTAGCAGTTGTAAGCCTGAAAAAACTTCCACGAGAAACAAGGTACGCCACGAGGTACCAAACTGATTAACCAATCACGCATCCCTAGCTCCCTGCTCGTCCTTTACCCCATGCATGCACGAGCCCACACTCAAAGCATGAGCTGAGGTCCGCTTCTGGACCAATGGCGCTTGTGCATGTAAGTGAGGGGCGTGGCTTTTGATGGCGCACAGAGGGGAGGGGGTGGGTTCAGACGGAGCACTGAGGGAATGCTACTTTCAAAATCATGCTAGTTTTTGAAAATTACCAACCCTGCCTTTAAGTCTGATGTTCTTCTACTGTTCTATGATTTATCAGTTAGTTCTGAACTCCACTGCAGGCTGGAGACTCTTTACAGTACTCTTTATAGTTATAAAACTAATGTATCCTCACGCTCCAACGGATGTCATTTTGGTGCAAAAGTTGTCAGTTACTACAGGTGATTGTTGTTGTGAATATGGGGAGAGGAGTTCCCTTAATGGAGCCAAGGACAGACACATAAACACTCAGCCATAGTCATTTGGACAAATGCCTCCCAGACCACCATTAGGGCTGTCCTTTAGTGATCTGATCCCCCAGGAGGCCTGCTAATACCAGGGGCAAACAGGTCCTGTGTGTCTTTGTGAAGTAATCTGCACTACCTGACGGTCTTGCTCTTCATCTGTGTCAGGTTGAATCTGTGTAAAAGCACATCATACTTCTGCTTTTCCTGCTCTAGACGTGCAAGCTCGCTGGTGGTGTCAAAATGTAGACACTTTCTCTCCAGAACCTGCAGAGGCAAGAAGAGGACGTCTCAAAAACTGGGCTTTGATTGATGAAATAGTGAATGATCGTTACTTTCGTTCTTGGAAATCACAATCTGAACAACTGTCTTCAATATCCCATGCTTTTCTGAAGTAGTCCATCAAAAGCTGGTTTCATCAGGAGAGGTGTTTAATGTAATAGACACAGTAACACAAGCAAATGACTAGATACAAATATGGTGCTAGACATTAATATTTGTGCTTACTTGAAACCTTTCACTGTGTTCTAACTGGAAGGTGTTAAGCTTGTCAGAAGACTTCAACATCACAGTGTGCATTTTCACTTGATGCTCCTCCACTTCCTTCTGCCTCTGCACCTGCCTCTCCTGCTAAACAAAGTGTACAGCAGAGTAGATGTCATTACACACAGAGTTGATATGCACAATATGATTAATCACAAAGTAGGATTGAGGAGTTTTTGAGACAGTGTGTTGTTTTATACTTTCAGTAGGGCTGACCTTTTTGTCCAAAAGTCTCTTCATGACTTGTTCCCATTCCCTCTTGTCTTTCATGAGTAAGACTTCGCTCTCCTGCTGATAAACTACCTATGAACAACACAAGTGAAACCATTTGTGAACAAGACAACTGTGACAAGACAAACAGAGTATATTCATGCTTATAGCTCTGGGAGGCTAAACTTTGGATCATCAGGACATTGAGCTATCTTTGGCATGCAAACAAACTCACAATGTTAATGCTAACAAATTTTCATTTTCTAACGCTTTTTTTGGCACAGGATCGGCCGGCTTTGTGTCATTTCTATTTTCGGACCAGTTAACGACTACTTACATTGAAGGTGATGCACCAGCTGACATTAAACGAATGTAGGCAGAACTTACAACTTCAATCTTACATCTAATTTGTTGCAGATGTAAAGTCCTCCCTACTGCTGTCGTGGTGTATTGTTTTAAAAGGTGGAATAACTTGGAGCAGTGAGGTGGAGCTGAGGTTAGATTGGCTTAAAGGCACTGACAGTGAGTTCTCCCATTAGATTACATCCCTTCGAAATGTAGGATGACTTTGTTTTTATAATGCTGTTTCTGTTTTCCGTAGTTGACCATTTTACTACTTGATGTATCTGTTGTTAATCTGCACTAGCAGATTAAGGCGTTATTCAACAAAGACTGTATTAAGAAAAATGCTTTTCACTGATTTGACACATGAAGTTAAAAGGTAATTTCTCCAACAATATTTTGGTTCGTTTGGACTTTACGCCCTAATTTGAACCTTACGACTCTTTGGTGCAACCAAACACTGACACAACTTAGGTTACAAACTAACAAGTTTCAAATTTGGGTTTAGACTGGGCTGTGTATCCAAACTTAACACAGGACTAGCTGGTACAACAGGCCACTAGTCTCTTACCTCCAACTGGGCCAGCTCCTCCCTGTACTCCTTTGTCAGTGTTTTGATCTGTTCCTCCGTCCTCTCCATCATTAGGTCCCGCTCCTCTGCATGCTTCCTCAAGTCCTTAACAAAGCGATCATCTCCAACCCTCAGCTCCTGTTCAGATTTCAAAGACAAGGGATAACATCACAAATAATAATAATGACAATAATGGATAGATGGACATACGGACGGATGGATGTACCTGTTGCAGCTCATTATTGAGTTTCTTCTTGTCCTCTATGAGAGCAGAACATAATTTCTGCTGGTTGTTCAGCGCTTCCTGCAGCTCCTGAGGGGTCCTCTTCTGATTTGCTAACAGCCACCCTTTGGTGATCTCCTCAAAATGTTCCTCGCAGGATTTGGCATCATTCTCCAGCCGCTCCAATCTGAGCCCAGAAAAAAAAATACTTTGGTAAACACAAGATAATAAAACAAATGGGCAAAAAGAGTGTATAAAGTAAATTTAGCAACTAGGTAGACAAACTATGTGGTATTGGGTTCTGGTGTAGGACAGAAGTGAGGAATTGGACAAAAAAAGTGGAACCTTAATCGGCAAGCTTTCTCCTGCTCCGTCCTTCGCATTGACTCTTTGGCATCTGCTGCAGTTTGGATGTTTGTCACCAAGGTCGGCAAATCTCTCTGAAGGTTGAGTATCCTCTGAGGAGTAACTATCTGATATAAAGGAGGACAGTTCTTATACAGGTTGTGGCACTTCTGTTTGTATGAGATATACCTTCTTAAGTGCATGTTAGTGAACACATTTCAAACAAGTAAAATTGCAGCTCACAATAACAACAATAATGTAATATAGCTGTATGCTATTTTTGGCTGATTCATCACATTTCCTCCTATATTTAGCCCAATTTTGGTGAATATTGAAAGGATGGAGCTCATTTAATGATAACTTTGTGTATTTCTTCAAAAGTTTGAGTAAAGACATCTGAAGTATTATATCAGCTACATGTTTTGGAGTTCACCAGAAAATTTTCCAAGGAAATGAAAAAGTCAAAGTTGCAAAATATATGTTTTCTTCAAGTATTTCCAGTATTTTAAATGGTCAAAAACTGTGATGTGTATGCTTACAACTGTAATCATAATTAGTAATAGATTACTTGTGTATTGTTTTTTTATGGTGGTGGTGGCGCTTTGTTGGGAGCATGGATATTTGCTTTCTTCATGTCAAGGACCCCAAACACTGAAAGTTTTAACTGACGTTATACAGTTAAAGGCTTCTTGACATTTTTGGAGGTGTGGGTGTTTGATTCTGTTGTTTCAGTAATGTCTGTTATAATTTGATCATGCCGTGGTCTATTGCTTTGTTTTGTTATTACTGTGTTTTGCTTGTGCTCCATACCATGTAATATGGTCATGAGCTGTATAAAAACATGAAATGAAATGAACACATTTTCCTTACCCCTTTAAAGTCAAATAACTGAAATTGAAATCATAACTTGTGATGAATAGAAAAAAGCAGATGAAATCACCCCAGAAACCAATTACATTACAAACAGCTTGATTAACTAATGAATAATTAACACGCCAGTACATTAATCAAAATGAAATGACAAATGAAATAGATACAGACTCTTACAAACCTCTTCACTCTCCTCCACCTGCTCCTCTTGAGGCTGGCTCCTGCAGGACTTCTCCTCTAACTTCTCAGAGGCCCTAACGACAGACAGTGTGCTCATTTTAAAGGTTGTATTTGAAAGAAAAAAATAATGAATTAGAATGAAAGACTGTAAAATTGCAGGGTATGAATTGAATAAACCCATTGCTATTTGTACAGTATATTAGCCTTTTTAATTGAAGCAAAAGCACATGAGAGGAAGTAGCCTGTAGTCTAATGTTAACTAAAGGTAGAGGTGAATCAGTGACTGTAAGATAACGATAGCAAGTTACCCTCTCGTATCCTGTTGGTTTTCGGGTTCACTCGCCTCCTCTTGATCCTTGTCAACTTCCTCCATATCAAGATTAGGTTGTGTAAAAGTGCTGCGGTGTTGTAAAGTAGAAGATAAACAGTAGCAGGTCTGTGTCGCCGCGGTCCGTTTGTTAAACGTTGCTATGACGACAGAGCCACGACAGCAGAGTGCCTTTGAGGAGCTTAAAACCTCAAAGCCATGCAATCTTTATATAGGCCTAAACAACAACAAAAAGACGAATATGCCTTTATTATGAAGTGGTTTGCTGTCAGCCTTTTTGTTCGAGTCGGCCTGTTTTATACAGCATTCTAATACTGTTCGTCTGGATCATTGATTTATCATACATAGCCTTGTGCTGCCATCTAGTGGACGAATCTTGTCTCCAAACAAATGAGCGGTTATGAGTTTGTTTTACTTTCTCCAAAACAACAACATTTTAATGGCAGGATTCGCTTATTTCTTGATTAGTGTTTTAAAAGCGAGGTATTTGAATGCCATTACGTTTTTTTTTAAAGGGGAGTAGGGCCTATACTGTCTGCAACTTTGTAACTTATCCCAAACATAAACACTGATAGACAAAAGCAGCACTCATAGTGCTAACACACAGGTTAAGAATATTGTCAAAACAAACCTTGTAATAATAGAATATAGGCCTATTTGCAGGCAATTAAAACTTTATAAGAATACAAGTATAATTGCTATTTTCATACAGTAAATATGTCTACACCTAGGAACCTACGAGCTAAAGCAAAATGACATGCTTATGTATAGCTTTAATGTTATGTTCAGAAGCTGACTTAAGGTGGCACTATAGTGTTGTGATCAAAGTCCTACTCAGGTATCACAAACTAATCCCCTTGAAATGTTTTGCGTTTGACAAGAGGCAGTTGTGAAATGAATGCAGCTTTGTGAGACATGCATCTCTTTCTCATAGGTGCTGTCCGAGACAATAAACTACTCCAAAACCTAGAAATTTCATTCAAGCACATCCCCTCCTCATAAATGATAAATGTCTTCTCAAGCTGATGGCAAGATGGGCACCCTCAGTTGTCCACAAAGACGAACCAACACATGGGTCAGATGTTTCTGCCCTTAGAAGTGCCCCCTTAAGACCTTTCCCGTTCTGCTTCTTGGCAGCACTCGCCCTCATCCTCTCCCCCCTGTGGGCACCTCACCGCTCTTTTGGCCTCAAGTGCCCTAGCTTGCGGCTGATCCACAATGGATGTAAGTCAGCCAGCAAAGGTTTCTGACATCTGATCCAGCATCTGTGATGTCACCAACAGCTGACTTGTCATAAGACCTTTTGTGAAAGAGGGGGTAAGTAAAGCAATGAATTAGGAAGAGGCCTTATTTTTCAACAGACCCTTAGCTGGAACTCTGAGTGCTTTTGCATCAAGCTTGCTGAGATTACAAACTGAATGACTGCCATTAGAGTGATTCTATAATCTATCATAATACAATAAGCCAGGGATTGACAGACTTTGACCCCTCTCACAGGTGTATAATAAGCCCCATTCACTCTGCATATGCTCTTTAAGAGTGTGTGTGTGTGAGTGCGTGTGTGTGTGTGTATGTGTGCGTGTGTGTGTGTGTGTGCTCAGAGGGGGCATATGTTTACTCCCTCTTCAACAAAGCATCATATTCATCACTCAGGGGTTGAGAGGTGCATAATCTGAGCCTAACTAACTGACAGATTAGAGTGTTGGTGGTGGTGGGGGTTTGCATAACAACTTAAGTCTTGACTAACAGTTTCTTAATAACTAAGGAGACATTCAAAGGATGGACTGTTAAAACAAGAAAGGAGGTTAATTTAGATGACAGCAAAAAATTCAGAGGAATATAGTCTGGAGGAGGTCATGACCTTGTCAAAGAACAAATCAGTAATTTAACAAGAATTAAATTGAATAAACGTAAAACTGAAGGCTGGAAAAAGAAACAACATGAAGAGCATCCCCTCACTCTTCCATCAAATGTGAAAAACTCCAACCTTGTCTGAAGGTAACTCGTGAAAAAGTACGTTTTTGTCATCTGCAGGAGCAACTACTGCAAACAGGATTACATGTTACCTCTAAACCTTTAAATATTGCTAAGAGAGAGTGAGGGGACACTGAAAAAACAAGGATGCAAAGAGACAAAGACGCTTTTATTGGAGGGAAAAATACAAATCTCTCATATGTTGGCCACGACGATTGTTGCAGAAACTAAATTGATCTCAGGGTCTGTGAATTGGAGGCCACTTCATTGTCTCTGGTAGGCTTCATTTATGATGAGAGGAAACAACTGTGTGGCCATCAACATCCCTCAGTCCAGCGTTAGTCGGTATACTCAAACATTCCAGCTCTAAGACCCCCTCAGCTTTAAAAAAAAAAAAAAAAAAAGTCAACTAACCCGTTCGCACATTATGACAGCTTAACACGAATGAGAAAGGGGAAATGTTTGCACATAGGATTTGATATGACAGAAGTTTGATGTCCATGAGTTTGCAGAGACTTTTCTTGATTTTGTTTAAAGAAATCTGCACAGAATATCAATATTTAATCCAGAAACCGTCTTTTTAGAGGATTTGAGATTATTACTTTTTCACTCTTTCAAGAAAAAAAATGCATTTATTAAAACAGTTTGATTTCGGATTTTTGAATAAAATGTTGTCATTTATTTTTTCCTTAGAGTAAATGCTGGTCGGTAAAGTAAAGTCCCTGAGCTTTGCTGATGTTTCCATTTAATTGGATTATTGCATTCAGGTATTTGGTTTAACAATTAAGCTATGCAGAACGCTGCTGCTAGAGTGTGCACATTAAACTTGTGGTTTGGTCCATTTTGACTGTGTGAGTAAAATGTAAAAAATAGAAGTGGAAGTAAATATAGCTTCAAAGTGTTTCTCAAAGCTACTGTGAATAAAGCAAAATTGTATTGAACAACATTAACTGCATAATGGTGTGATGTAGAACTCATACAAATTGAAGAACTAGGTTTTGCACTATTTCAGAATATGAAAAGTGAGGTCGCAATAAAAAAATCAAATGTAATATTGACACATAAAGCCTTCTACATACAGAGGAAAACACATCTTTACTAAAAAATTAGAGAAAACTATAGAGAAAACTGACTAGAATCTGGATAATTCCAGTACTCAGGGCAGGCTAAATGGGGTTGAAGGCTAATGTCATTATGTGTTTTGTCATTTCTGTTTTTGGTGCAAAGTCTGCTCACAATATCTGAGATTTTCATTGTTTTTAACACAAACCTCAGCACATTTTTTCCCTCTTAATCCAGCAGAGAAGTGGAGCAGGCAGCGGTGTTCAGGAAAGGAGTCGCTTTACAAAATCATATTAATTTCTTCCACCTAAACTGACACACTCACAGCAGAATTATGCCCCAAGTCATTTTATACTGTCAAAGCTCTTTGTGATTGGATTAGGTGTACAATAATTATACATGGCATTAGGCCGTGATTACTGCTGGATTTTTTTTTTTTTTTTGCTGCACTGTACTCAGGTCAGTGAGATGGTGCAAATAGAAATACTGTATCCTCCACAAATCAATGTATTTAGCTTTGTGGCTAATACAGTGTACAACCTGTAATATGAAAGAAGAATAAAAAAAAAAAATTATCTTATACAGAGTGAAAAATAGATTATTTCATTAAAGCAGCCTCTGTCTATAAAAGAGAATATTTGGGGACCAAAGACAAGGACACTAAGATACTATATTTATGCCAGATGTAGCGCCAACAACTTCACATATAATATTTTTTTTTTTCTTTTTAAACTGTACTGAGTGTGAGTACAGGACTCACACTGACACAAACTCCAGCTTCTAAACTTTATCACTTTTAATGCAAATTATGCAGATGTTATAGTGACAGTTACTATAAAAGGAAAGCATTGATTTAAATGTGGAGAGTTGTTTTAAAAGTTATTGTATGCACATACAAATGCGACAGCTAAATTTCCGTTCCTGAAATGTAAAAGATTTTGCAAGCAACAAAAAATAATAATGCTACTTTGTTGCAAGAGATGATGCATCCTTAATGACACATGATGTGTAGTACATCAAGCCTATAGCACTATACTCTCTCATAGTTCTGAGGTACTTAGACTCTTGATGTATACGAATGACATCTACTCCACTTTTTCTCTCCAGCATTTTGTTAACACTTTATTACCTTTTCTGTATTTACAATTTAAATGCATCAATTTTCATCAACTAATCAGTGCCCCTTCCAAAACTTGCCCAGCAGTAGCCTATGTAAAGTGCTTGAAATGTGTCATCCAAGTTTTAAGCTATGGCCATTTTTTAATCTGATGCAGTTCATGTCAAAATGTACATTATTACTATCCTACTCTGTTTCAAGTTTCTACTCCACACTTCCGCATGTTGCTTTGTGGCTGAGGCGCTGGCTTGATAAGTGCAATAACATAAAAAGCTCTCTTCAGCGTTTCTGCACCATGCAATTTATAAAAAGATGTATTTCTCAATTCAGTCATCTTTGCATTGACTAAATGTTCTGCAAACTGAAGCTCACACACTCAAGTAGAGTGACATGCAGAAAGAGCACCACTTAAATGATTAGAAATCTGCAAACACTAAATGGAGACAACTTTGAAAAGCTTTAAGGCAGTGGTATGTCACTTTAGTGAAATTGTGAATGAATATGCACTTGCAACCAGATTTAGGCATTGCTAGTAAAGGTATAATAAGTAGAAAATCGAACTATTAGTTTCAGCCCTGCCTAAAAGTCAGAGGATCAGGAGGAAACTGCAGCTTTTCCATCAGTTCTCTCGTTCACGTGGCGGCCTCAGGTCCACTTGGCCTGGAGGTTTTTCTCTGACTTTCAGCCCCGCTTAAGGACCCGGTGTGCCTCAGGAAAGCAACGAGGCTTAACGGGAATCAAAGCTGTCATTCTTGAGCACACGAGCGCGGATGACAAAGGGCCGTGTTTTTAGTTTTCAGCGGCTCTGCTGCTGGCCGCAACCGGATCATATGACTCGGCATTTCCGTAATGCTCTTTGAGCCGCTGATGGCCAGCAGTGGCTGCGCTCCACAAGACCAAAAAGCCAAAGGAGTTTAACGGATGTGTTGCTGCGATTATTCGGCCAAGTATCTTTATCCCACATTTAGATTAGCTGCTAATGACGGAGGGAAAAAACCTTGTTGCGAGATCAACACAAGGCCACGTAACCTGGGAACAAGGGCCCCTCCTGTTTGAAGAAACAGATTTAAAACATGGACTCATTAGGCACAACTGCAGTCACCACTGTGCTGTTGGAGACAACACCTATCTATTTATAAAGATTTATAAGAGCTATTTTTATTCTTTTTTTTTGTGACAATTGTATGTGTAGCTACAGATCTTTGCATTGTGAATTTTATTTTTGCTTTAAAAAATGCACAACAGATTTCACTGCACAATGTGCAACAGCAAAAAAAAATGCTTTCTTTTCTAATCTATTTTGAAGTTGTTTAAACTGACCCCCTGGCTGTTTTGGGAGTTTCATCCCTACAATTGCATTATACAAAAGTTATACATATCATACAAGAGTATGGTCATTGTGAGTTGTTCGACAAGGTCGCAAGATATAATATGGAAGCCCAATACACAGTTGTGCTAATATGACAGACATGCACACATTGCGTTTAGCCCAGAAGATCATTCCAGATCCCTTAAAACTCTGTGAAAATAACATTTTTAACTTCAGAGTGTGGACAAAAAGATGCAACACATTCTTTGTCCAGCATTTGGCTGGTTGATAAGCTGTGATCATAAGGTCTGAAATACATCCTTAATTGTCAGTCAGTGTCCTGTATAAGCCCCCCACATGATGCTTTTCTAATGTTTATCCGATTTTTATGTTAATTATTTTGAAAAATGATGTGTTGTTGTTGTGCATGTGTTTTAATGCTTTTTAAGCAAAGCAGCTTCACTTTGATAAATAAAGGCAAATAAACAGCATTGCAATCTGAAACAAGTGATACAGAGTTATATATTAATAATTCTCAATGTAAATATTAGAGGCAATAGAAGTAGAGTCATTGAATTAAATCAGACCAAATGGGTCAAATAACAGCACACACAGCTGCAGGGTGTTTCTGACGTACACAGGTTTATTTGTGAAGAAGAATTAGTCTTGAAACAACTTCACAGCGATTGCTTTAGTTAAAGGGTTATTCTTCATCAATTCATTACTCATAAAAGAGGAGAATTCAACATCATGAGAAGTCGCAAACCCTTAACAAATTAAGTTAAACAGCAGTGGAAAACGACAACAAAGCACATTAGAAGCTTAATGCAACAGCAGAAAAACAACTGGAAAACCAGTAACATCACAGTGTGGTGATTTGGAGTGCTCTTAAAGTATGTGTGTTATGTCTTTATATGCCCCATCCCCCCCTCCCAACAAATGTGCACACCCCCCCCCCCTTTCTTACAGCAGATACATGTCACCACTAATGGACATCAAGTGCTTCTTTTTCGCAGCTCTTTTCGGGACATTGGTACATTAGAGACAGAAAAAAACATTACTCAACCCATATAGAGTACACACACACGCAACACACACACTAACAAACACACTAACACACACACACACACACACACACACACACACACAGTATTCAAGCCACTCACTCATTCGTGTGTCTCAGACAGCAGGATGCAGATTGCTAATGAGTCGAAAGGCAGGAGAGGTTGAGATCTGTGTGAGGATTTAGGAGTGTACCATGTAGCTACGTGAGCAAACATCTGGTTCACACTCTCAAAAAATCTATATACACTTCTGGTCCCGCTGTGTGGAGATCCAAATGTCACAAAATGTCATTAAATAAAGCCGATAATGAACTGTAAAGTAGAGGATTCAAACATCCACTGTGAATAATTTATTATTTTCCTATGTTAATTACTGCCAAAAAATTCTCTGAAAATCAGAGTTCCAGCATAATTCATTGTATTATGGAAGATGGTTTGAAGGAAATGAAATCAAAAGTTGTAATGCCAGGAGTCTTTTACTTTCATTTTCATTTATCTAGATCCTCTGAATACTAATTGGTAAAGTGCAATACCGTTGAGTCCTCAACATTCATTGAAGTCATTCAAACCTCAGGCACAAGACGGTGAAGTCATTCTTCTCCAGGGTTGAAACTTTTAAATGACGATGGCCGACCTCCATTCATAGTCATCATCCGTCTCTTCTTCAGTTCTGTTTGTCCTGAATGTTCATATTTGAGTATTTGTTCGTATCTGCAAAGACAGAATTTACATTATTCTACATGTCAGACATACAAGTTTAACTCAACAAAGTCTCTTTGTCCAAACCCGTTTTGACTCTACCAACACTGCCTGCTCAGTCTGCAAAGTGTTCATATACATTTTGTAATCTGACCCTTATGCTAACTCTGACCCAAGATGCTTGTTTCCATGGTAAGAATCTAGGAAATAATTGCTGAATACTACAGTAACTTGTTGCAAATCCAAAGCACTGAGATCATGAGGTTGGGACTTGGGAGTCATTTTCCTTCGCAGAACGCTTTCCTGACCCTGACGCTAAGTTATCAGAAATACTGACTTCTACATCAGGTCGCAGCAGCAGCTCAGTTCTGCTGCAGGTCAGGGATTTAATACTCCTGGAAGTGTTCCGAATTGTTTCACTCAAAACAGAATTTCCAAGTAAAGTGTCCTTGTAATGGTTTTATTGTTTCAAAAGACAACCATGTCCTTCACAGTGAACTGAGCAGTGTGATATTAAAAACACGTGTCAGTCAGTCACCTGTGAGAAAAGAATTCATTTACACAATGAAAGGAAAGTAATAGCACATTTAGAACTAGAGCATTATTTCAAATGATTGTAAAGTCTGCCATTTAGTTTGATCATAGGTACAATTCATATGTAGCTTTCTGGCCGGCCAGAAGCCTTGGTTAATAGTTTTATTGTTCTTTTTTTGACAGTTTTTGAAAATTGTAATACAACTGCAAAGTCATATCAACTTTTCCGATCATGCATTATAATTAAAAAAATATTTAATGTTGTATTTTTTGGGCCATTTTCACCTTTATTGGATTGGTCAGCTGAAGAAAGACAGGAAATGTTAGGTGGAGAGAGCAGGGGGGGGGGGCATGCAGCAAAAGGCGCAAAAGGCGCAAAAGGCTGAGGCCTGATTCGAACCCGTGGCCGCTGCAACAAGAACTAAAGCCTCCGTATATGGGGCGCTAAACATAACCACTACGCTATCTGGTGCCCCTTCAATAAGTGTTTTCTTATAAATCCCTCTTAAACTGAATTAGAATCAGGTACCACAGATCTTGTAGAAAGAGTAGTTCTTGGTGTGAGTGTTTCTTAAACATGCCTAATTTGTCCTCGACCATCAGAAGCCATTTGCCACACCCCCGCCCCCAAACCACATCCACACTTTGCCCAATACCTACAAAACCAGTTATCATACTCCAACACACAGATTTTAAAAAATAATCCTCCGACCCTCTCTATGATCTAGAGGTTTTTTTTATCCCAACTCCTCTTTAGAGCAACCTTGAACCCGCTCTCATCCATCCTAATATCACAGTCAGTCAACCCCCCGTCCCCCGTCCTCCTCCACAAAGACTCCCAAACCCCGTCATAAAATCTCTGTGTGACAATGGGCGAATTAAGCTGATTACTCACGGTGTATGAGCTTGCGTTTCTTTTGTTCCGAGTGAAGGAAGCTGCTCAAGTAGAAGATGATGGGCAGAAAGAGCATGAAGCTGGACACGGCGATGACAGGCACCGTCTCCTTACGAGGGAACGAACAATTGAAGTTCTTACTCCACAGTCTGCGTGTCACATTCATCTGAAACCAGAGAGATGCGGTTGATCACTTCTCAAACAACTATTAAGCTTTGATATTGTGCTGCATTAAAGATCAAGAGTGACCTTTCAAGCATAATAATTCATGAATTTTGGTGCTAATTTTAATCAACATTCAATTATATCTTGTCACCACCCTGAAGATCTTTCTAATGGTCTTGGCTCCAGGGGGAGCAACTTTCTTTAATCCCACCTTGAGGAGGCCTTTTTATAAATCTCTGCCACTGACAAACATACCGCGTCCTCTAAGTCGATACACAAGGTCTGATTCTTTTCCATGCCGCTGTACAGGTCGTTCAGTTGACTGTATGTGGTCTTACAGCTTTTGCAGAGCTCTGTATGGTTCCCCTGTGAGGAGCAAAAAAAAGAACAGACAGCATGTTAGCTTCTCCACATAAACCAATGCAATACAGGCATCATTCCAAATTCATACATACCGGTGAATACTTCTCAAAGCAGGAGAGAGTGTGGTTAAGGATGTCCATGAAGTACAGAGTGTCATTGGTGAGGCTCTCATATCCTTTAGTGATACAAGCTGCAAAAAGGGGGACAAAACAACCATCAGCTGAGGTCTATATATAAATGAAAGCGGACAATGAATTCAGACACACGACAGTTGTTTCTGATGCCGTCACCTCGTAACCTCATTTACTGTTTTTTTTTTTTTTAATACATTCAATATTTGAACCTTGTTTAAGAAAATGTGGATAAAGACATACTGGAGCTGCAGCAATAGTATAATAAGATTATAGAATTAGACTTTAGGAAATCACTCATTCTTTTTTTCTGACTGTTAAGAAACTTATAGGCTAATCTATAACTAATCAATAATGGAAATAAGCAGCAGCCCCTGCCCTACTCATTTTGACTATCCTAAAACACAAAGAGTTTAACCAATGAAACAAACCTTTGACCTCTGCGTACAAATGTGCACCAATGTATTTTGTACACAAGTCAGAAGTTCATACTCAGGCACAAAATACACATTTATTTTACACAGATCTAATCCAAAGTAATTCACACGTAAGTGCACTTCAGAAACAATCAGTGCTTTTACATTCCTGCTGCAAAAAAAAACACAACTTACATTTACAGTCTGATTTTGTCCAGAGGTCTTCCAAATTGCTGTACAGCACATACACCAGCATTAGGCGATCACTACGCAGAAGGCTGTCCCTGCAGGTCTCATTATCAGGACCCATCTGAGGACACAGGCACATTTAATCACACTTTTTTTTTTTTTTTATTCCATTACACAGTACAAACTGAGCACGCTATTAAAATAGAGTCATGATGAATGCCTGCTTCCTTGAAAGTGGGCACATCCCCATGACTCGTGATCATGAGACAGAAGCGGCCTGGTCTCTTCATGCAGGCAGACTGTAGAAAATGTGAACTCAAACACACAACAGGGATTTTGTTTCCATGCACGTACCTGGTCTGAGATGTTCAAATAGGTCTCTGTGAGGCTGCCGTAGCTGGAGTAGCAGTTCTGACACACTTTGACAGGTCGAGCAGCTGGGACCAGGCAGTTCACGTAACCGACGTATCGCTGTCCAAATAGGTGGAGCAGGTTGTTGCAGTACTCACTTACCTCCAGCTCTTCAGGGAAAGAAGACAGCATGTTTACGGAGAACACGGAGCTCGCAGCGGGCTTAAACACAGGCGAGTTGACCGCAAAAGCACCAGAAGCGGGTGCTTCATCGCTACGCACGGAAGCGTAAGTGTCCAACATAAATACAACTAAATACAGACACGTTTTACGAGAAGCCATGGTGGAAACGACAAATAACTCGTGTATTCTACTTCTTCTTCTTCTTCTTCTTTCAGCCCTAACAACTCATGATTTCCTGGTTATCGCCAAACAGAATCATGTGACAGCAAACCTGAAATCTCGCGAGAACTCCGTTGCTCCAGTGTCAGAGCAGCAACATCTCATTTCAGTTCCTCCATGTGAATTAATCCCGCTTTAAACAACAAAGAGAGTCAATTTTGAAGTATGTGGATGAACTATTTTGAGGTCATATTTATACGTGTGTAATTTGTTCATTTGAAAGCACAAATTATTTAATAATTAGGCTGATTTTTTTTTTTCCAAGCTTGTAAATAGAAGTTCAAAGAGTTAATATGATAAGATAAGACATACTTCATTCATCCCAGCAGGGAAATGTAGGTGTTCCAGCAGCCAGCATACATACAAACACACAACACAACACATATATACAAACACACAACACAACATATATACACACATCCCACCCATACAAAAAACATGAGCCCACAATACATAGCCAGGATAAAAAAAAGTGGTATGGATGGTCCATGTGCATAAGTAGCTGTTACTCATAGATAACAGTACAAAATACTAGCTCTGCCAGTGCATAGTATGATAGATAAATAAAGAATTATTATAAAAAAGCAGTCAAGTGTGCAAATATACAGGTGCAAAATACAGTTTGATATATGCAGCTCAGGCTAAAGTTTAAAAGTTTAAATGTCTTCTGTCCTTACTTAAAGGGGGTCGTTATAAAGTGCAATTGCAGTAGGTAAAAAATGTTCTCATTTATTTTCCTTAAAAATAAACATTTAATTGGCTTAATGGCTTTCCTTTTGTCGTTTTACTAATACTAGGCTATACTACTACAACTACAACTAACATGACTACTGCTTTATCTCTCTGTCTGTCTATCTATCACATAAACAATGCCTGTGTAACAGCGCGCGTAAGTATGGGCGTGTACGGGCATGTTTTTGAGGGCAGCCTATCCTCTTGGTCTCCTCATTATTTACGCGTTTATAACGCCATACAATTTAGATATGTGCGCTGCGGCTGGGAGCGAATAATTACGGAGTCAAGGTAAACGATATGGGCTCCAATCCTGATTGTGATAATTGTCCAAAACCCCCTCGAATCAAGCAACCGCAGTCAATGGTCGTTAATGTGAAATTAGTGGCTCTTGATAACTCGCAGGCCGCATCAATTCCGCAGTCATCAGAGCCTAATGAAAATAAGGGGGGAGAGAGCGCGCGCAGCATTAGTGGCCTATTCTGATGCCCGCGCGCGCGCTACTTGAGTGGTAAATATGGATTCTGGCCTCTAATGTGTCCTCTCTCCGCACATGGCGGCGGCGGCGGCGGCTCATTAACTCTTCTTCTCCTGACCAGAGTTCACCTAATTGTTCAGATGTTCCCCATTCCATTATGATTCTGTAGTGTCTCTCAGAAAGAAGACGTGATTACAACCTAAACCCGCATGATCCTGCGTTTTGTTGCGTTTGTTATCTGTTTCTGCAGTTATAGCCTCCATGGCTTAACTTTAAAAATGCTTCACATGACAAAAACGTATCGATTTTTTTATTTGTATTTATTATCATTAGCCTATTATTATTATTATTATTATTATTATTATTATTATTATTATTATTATTATTATTATTATTATTGTATGATGTAGGCTTAAGTCTATAAGTACGTTCTGGCTCTATAGTAAGTTTGGGATGTCTTTTCTCTGGCTTCAATCAGCAAAAAGTAAAATCGGAATATCATTAGAGGAGACCGTTGTTGTCACGCGGCAGAAAATGCCTTCATTAGCAATTTGATAGCCTGCATAGAGAAACCAAGAGGACAGAATCACTAATTACGTCCTTAAATAAGATGACAGTGGTGGTGATGATGAGAGCCCTTCAGGGGTGAGGGCAAGACTCAGTCCAAGAAACTCCTTTTGATTTAGCCTATACAATATATTCATGCAATGAAACTGGTCAGCGGAGGGTTAAGTTATTGATTATTTAAGTGGAAATACAGACTAAAGCTTAAAATGACTTGCAGATTTTCAGATCTTTCAGATGTAAAACAAAAAAAAATTATATATGATCAATAGTCTAAAATTTACTTTAACATCCGGATCCAGTAATGTCATTTTTGAATTGTTCGTAAGTTAGTTTAGTCCAACCGGGGCTCAAACCTTCTTACAGGACATACAAGAAATCTAAAATGATAAGATAAAAAGGAAAATAATAACATTCTGCATACTTTTTTTTCTGTTGGCATTTTTGTATTGGTGTTATAGGCCCTGTTTGTTGTGATAAAACATCTCCAGTTAGGAAGGAAACGTTGGCTTTTTGAAAACACAGACATCTAGGGTTCAATTTATTTTAATAACATAGTATGTTTCTCTCTGTATAATCTCTGAGGTATGTATTATATCGTACAGTCTGTGACACTAACATATCAAATGCAAGTAAGTAGAATTCCAGTATTTCCCTGAAATGGAGGCCTTATTAAAGTTGCAGAATGGAAATAATCAAGCCAGTGACTAGAAAACATTTATGTATTTGGATTAAAAGCATGCAAAACAAAGATGCATTGCCCCATAACAATTCAAACTTTGCATGAGAATGTAATGTTTTATTATTTCTGTACTATCACCTTAAGATCATTTTATCTGACATTGTGCTCAGAGTCCTGTCGGTCTCCCTTTTGCAAAGTCTGTGACTGACCCTCACAAAGGGGTTAACTCAGACCGGTTCAGCCTTAAACTTGGCTCTTGGCGTGGGGAGAGAAAATAGCTGTAAAGTTATGCAGAAGTTATTCTTCATCCTTCGGGCCGTCCCTAATCCGCCAAAAACCTCATTCTTTCATCGGAGAACTGTGCCTCCTTTCTTGTTCGCCCCTCTCTATACAACATAAAGTCAGACTGCATTTAATGGTTATGTCGGGATGGGAGAGGGGCTTTCTTCTTCCTCTTTTCTGAAGAATATTGCCCTTTTCGTCGTGTGAGTCTCCCAGCCCGTGGGGGACCCCCATATTCTTCCCTCCGCGTCTGACTCGAATCACAAACTAACCCTGATTTTCACCACTGTGCTGGGAATCGCGGCCACTGATAATAGAGATTTCGCTTTCATTTTATACGCTTGACTTGGTTATTGTTGCTTTTCTCCTCTCCCGTGATTCTCTCCTTCTCCGGGGATTAGCCCTGACTTCGCCCGCTACTGGCCGCCGAAGTGCCCCTGAGCCCCGGGATGACAATTGACGCAGATCAAGGCAGGCCTATTCTGCGCCTTTGAAAGGGGCCGATCCGAGCAAGGCTAAAACGAGGGAGTTTTAGTGGAGGGTTCGGATGCTTCTCATAAATTAACTGCAAGACTTTCCAAACGCTTTAGTGAGATTGAAATGCTTGACAACCTTTTAAAATGAAAAGGATTAGGTTGTTTATTTTCTTATACTGATAAAGGATTAGGCTGTTTATTGTCTTTGCACAGACCTATACAGACTATATGATGGAGATGGTGACGACGATGAGGATGAAAAAGGAGGAGGTTAGAGACTGCAGAAGAAGGTGAAGGTCCTGATGATAATGATGTCAAGGGTGATAAGTAGGCAATGATGGCGAGTTTGATTTGCAAGATGATACTGAAGAGGATGATGATGGTCTGGTTTTTATGATTAGAATGAGAGTGATGAAGATGACGAGGGTAAGTATAGGTGCTGATGAAGATGACATGTATGGTGATGGCTGTGGTCTAGTTGAAGATGAGGTTAAGGGGGGTGTGTGGAAATAATGAGCGACAAGACATAAATGCTGATGATGATAAAAAAAAAGGAGGATGAAGGTGAGAATGACGTCATAATCAGCTTTAAGGACTTGGTACTTTAACATATAGGTCTACCTTCCAAGCCCGTCGGGTGATTTCAGGTCATTCGCCTTTGAAGCCTTTAAATAGATGAACTCCTTAAAAAAAAAAGAAGAGTCTGACTTTTGTTTTCCTCTTTCTTCCTTATTAATCATTTTCCCCTCCCTTATAGCACGACTGCTTGTGTTGGACCTCACTGAAAGAAACTGCAGATGCAATAGAAAAGTCAAACTAATGCTACACTGAGACTTTAACTCACTTTGAAATGCGTCATGAATGATCCGACAAGTGTAAATGCACAAACTGATACAACCAATTATACTGGATATTATAATATCACATACTCCTACAAGTATTCTTTTCTGTGGAAAAAGAACTTTTACCAAAGTTAATTTAGCTGATTTATCCTGTTTATTTTAGGACTTTAAATACAGCACTCTAACTTGGCATATTTTTAACTTGTGATGTTTGATGTGTAAGCATAAGAATAGATGAAAGAAGAAGTGGAGATTCACTTAGGCTCTACAGGTGTCACTATCTCAACCCTGCAACAGTTTAAACAGTCTGACTGTGCAGATCTGCTCATCACTAACGCGTCACACACCAGAGGCTCTGCTGTATTTGCTGTGTCCCCCCCAATCAGGCATCTCTGCAGCACTGTGAGAAGTTAATCTTTGTTGACGGTGTGTTGTGCACTCTTCCGTGGGCCTGTTCGAGGTTGGGATCTCTCCTAGAAAGCCTGGTCTGCGCTCATATAGAGTGTGTGTGTGTGTGTGTGGTGTGTGTGGGGGGGGGGGGGGGGGGGATAATTACCAAACACGCAGCCGACAGCAGCCATACAAAAGCCGCTTTGACTTCCTCACTGCTGGTCGCCTCCAGGGGACGGTCCCGCTCCCTGGTCGCCCAGCTCGCCCCGGCTCCACCAGACCACTTCTCATCACTCCTGAGAGGCACAGACGTCTTGTTCCATAACAAGACATGAAACTGACTTCTTTCAGCTCCACTGAACTGGACATAAACCCCGACTGACAACCTCCAGTGCCCAAACAGAACAGGGAGAGGACGGGTGGGCCGGGAGACGGGACAAGAGAGGGGCGGGGGGGCGGCACAGGGCGCTCTAAATAAAGTTGTTTTTCACTTTAATTTACATGTAAGGGGGCGACACTTAAAAAAAAACAAAAAAAAAAACCTTAGCTTGAAGCTGATTTGTGTCCAACATTTGCATTATTCTTATTTTTTGGGGG